CACGAAGGGAACTATAGTCTGGTTGGTGGTTTGGAACATTTTTATTTTTCCATAATATATGGTTAATATGGTCAATATATGATGATAAATATTATATTCTGGTTGGTGGTTTGGAACATAACTGGATTATTTTCCCATATATTGGGAAGAATCATCCCAAGCGACTTTCATATTTTTCAGAGGGGTTGAAACCACCAACTAGAAATCTAGCTGTTCTTTTTTTTAAAATCATCCAGTCACTTTTGGAGGGTCACGCGGTCACTCTCCCTCATTTCTTCATTTCAATCATTCATCAGTGGCTGATTGGTGGTTTCAAACATTTTTTATTTTCCCAGATACTGGGAACAATCATCCCAACTGACTTTCATATTTTTCAAGATTGTGTTTTAACCACCAACCAGGTAGAGATATTGTTTTTTGATAGAATAATTATGTCCACTTTGGTGACGTCTTTTCCGAGTTTTAGGTTCGACTTATCCCAACACATCGAATTTATCCCAAGTTATCCCAAGCCTTCTTGGTTCCATCCACACAAGGTGGTGCCCCCCCAGTGATATTTGTTGGTTTATGAACCATAGTAAGTATAGGTATATCTACCATCAACATCCATCAACCATAGTTATTGGAGTTATAACATGTTATAAACCAACTTAGCTAACTTTGGGGCAGCACCTTGTGATGATAGGCTGCCCAAGTTTCAAGGGGGGATTAAGCAGAGAGATCTTGTGCATCTTTGGATCGTGCTGCCATGGGGATGGATGGTTCAAAACCACCAAAAAAACCGGTGAACATCAACATAGCTGGGATTTATGTATGTTCATCCCCCTGAAAATGGCATGTATAATCACTATAGTCATAAACCAGCAAGCTAAACTTGACTTATTTGTTTCTTGGACCCAAACAATATATGTATAATCCAAATGTATCGAAGAAAAATCACTAAGTACCCTCTCCATTGTGATTGTACACCACCAATGTTATTGGTTAAGTCACCATTCATCAGCATCTTTATATGGGGTCAAATCCACAAATACATTCCATTTGTTCATCAATAGTATGATCCCTAAAAAAAATCCATCATATCCAAAAAAAAACGCTTACGAATTTCCCACTTCCCATGAACGATTCATAGGAATCCCATCTAATATCCCATGAAATCCCATGAAAATTCCCATGAAAATTCCCATGAATGCCCATGAACTTCGCGGAGGCAGTTCTGGCACAGGCCAGAGCCATTGGTTCGGAATTTCGAGGCGTCAGAAATGGAGTTATGGGGCCCATGCACATTTAGAAATCCAGGCTTTTCATAAAGGGATAATCATGCCCTAGAACAAAAAAACCAATGCTCCATGTATAGAAACAAATTGCCTACAAGTTTCTGGGTGATTTAATGAAGTACCCTCTGGTTATTTAACATAGCCATGGTATAGATGGCCCATGAAAATTGATGGTTTACCTATTAATAGCATGGTGATTTTCCATGGCTATGTTAGTCATAACCAGATGGTAAGTATCAAAAATATGGGGATGATATTGCCATAGTTATAGTTGAAAATTACCATATGTTACCAAAGTTATATCTATCATTGATAATTAAATGTTGGGATTCATATTCCTGCACCATGGTTCGCATATGGGATAGTTCTACATCCTTATAGCTGGAGACTCTCTTCGTGATGATCATGATGAATCCTGTCCCCCTCCTCAGAAAACCAGGGGAAAAACACATAGTTTGGACATCTTGGGACCATGGGGCCATGGGGGTTGTTTATTGATGGGATTATACATGGGATTGTAAATGATTATTATAATGACTCATGGTTGATGGGGGTTGTAAATCATGATGGGATTACAAAATATTATAAATGGGATTGTAAATCATTTTTTTTGTATGACTGGGATGTAAACGTTCTGATTTTACAATTTTTCATTTTACTACCAATGATGATCATGGGATTGTAAATGAGGATTTTGAGTTTATACATGGGGTTAATGCCGGGGAATCTGCCGGGGGATGCTGCGGGATATTAAGGGAATATCACCGATTCTTCATATGACTGGGATGTATAGTATGTTGATCACAAAAGAAACTACAGGTTCAATACAAAGCGCAGATTCGTCAGAAAAAATATGAAAAACATCTTACTTGTTACACAAAACAATGTGATTGATACTTGTGTGACGTTGACAAACAATATATATATAATATAGATCAAGTGTGTGAATCAAAGGGTTGGTCAAACACCGAGAGGAATAACATAATATCGATACTATTGGTTCAGCACTGAGCCATTGAACGATCAAACAATTTCCACAATCAAAGTGAAATAGCAGCTAAACAGCTGACGGAGCTGAATAGCAATTATTGGTGGTGGTTTCAAACATTTTTTATTTTCCATAATATATGGGATTATTTTTCCCATTGACTTTCATATTTTTCAAGATGGTTTTTTAAACCACCAACCAGCAATTATAGATCCATTTTTCATGGTTAAATTGGTTACACCTCCATTTTTCATAGGAAAACAACAAGATGGTTATTGGTGGATTTCAAAAGGTTTGAAGGATTTTCTTTTCACAGGCTGAGGTCAGCATAAAATGATGTCCAGATGGATCCAATGGATACACATGGGCGGATAATGGGCGGTTCTATCCCCGGTTTGGGAAAATTTTGTGCTGGCATTCATTCGGCACTGACTTTTACTGTAAACGGATGGAACTTGTAAATATGTGGATTCAATGGATTGGTTTAAGGGAAAAAAATTACAGGAACACACCATATTGCCATATTTATTGGGAAAATCTATTGTTTCCTGTAGATTTTACCTTAAACCAATCCATTGATGGATACAATCCTCAAATCAAAGTGGTTTCTTTGTGCTGTCGATTACCAGCATAGATGATGAAGACCCTAGGCAATGACCAATCAGAAATCGTAGTGAGTTCTATTAGCGCATTGAGTAGCTAGAACATGCTACTGGTAGTAGAACAATTGAAAATATATGGGGACCCGGCAGTCTTAAGGTGGACGTTTGAAATAAACAACTGCAAAATGGAGTACATCTCCCAAATGGCCACAAAAATACTAGGGATAATGATGATTAATCAATGGGTTCTCACCCATTTGGATCATCTGCCCGTCCCGAAAAAAAAGAGGCCGCTGGGGGAAGACAAATGTAGCTGGGTGACGGACATGACACTGCCGTACTATTGGGATTTTCGTGTCTATGACAACCTTCTTTTGCTGCAAAACGCCCCAACTAGCTATCAGCAACAACTGCCATCCGGCAAGTGGCCAGACTTTCAGGGCTATATCCTATGGTAAACTGTCCCATAGCTATGGAAAGATCCACCATCTCGTAAATCAACGAACTAAATGGGCCATGTTTAATGTCGCAAACTGGCAGAAATTACCAGAGGGTATCATTATTATATATATTCCCATGATTTCCCATATAATACCATATAAAACCTCCATTTCTAGTGGATATGTCCCATAAAACCATGTAAAGCCCCCCATTTTTGCTGCTTGAGTTATCACCACAACCGTCAAATCCGCAAGCAGCGGATGCCCATCGTTGGTACCTGCGTTGCGGCGTTGCGGGGGCAGGTAAGAGCGCCAATGTGATGCTGGGCCCTGGCTTAAACGTGCACAGGAGCTTAATCTGATGCCTGAGAGTCCCAGGTGTGGTGGTTAATCTCTGGTTGATAGATATAGACAGATATAGATGGATATAGATAGATATAGATATATTATTTATATGTATTTATAGTTTGTAATTATTGATATCTAGGAACTATGGGGGTTGTTTGTTGGCCTGGTTGTTGGGCCCCATGTGCCAACTAAAAACGGGGTAGATACTAACCGGATGACCGTCTCACTAATCTTAGTTCTCCCAGGAAAATGAGATAAATCATACCTGGAGAATCATTCCACTTAGAATGTTCAATGACCATGCTGGCCAGGAACCGATTGAGGACGGAGGTACCTATATACCATATATTTTTGGCCTATTTTTCAGGCCTAAATTTCAGGGAATATCCCCAGAAAATGTGGCCTTAAATGGTACAGTACCTCCATTAAAATGGATCCTGAAGATCTCCCATTGAAATATGGCAATCGTAAGTGGGTTCCTAAGCGATTTATAAATGGGATCATCCACTTCAGGAACTTACTGACCAGGGTTATTCACCCGTTTTGGGCGAAAGTCCGACCGACTTTCTACCAAACTAAAAAACCACCCTGTCCCGGGAACAATCTGCCGATTTCTAAAAAATAGACCTATATTTTGCAAACACCGATTTAACTACTAAATAGTTAATTTTGTTGTGGACTATTTTCTGTATATAGCCCATTTTGTGAAAACAAGGAGAATAGTTAGAAAATAGGGTATCTCATCTATTGGGTGAGCAGTCTTCGAGTGTCCATGCTTTAGGTACATTGGGTTCCCCAGGTAGTTGTTTGGCTGTGGAACTACTGACCCCGGGCTTGTTGACACGACTTTCCAACAAAAGCATTGGGTTGGATCTCAAATGTAAAAAACGTAGTCAAGCAATTTCAAACCCATAATTTTTCGGCGTTTTCCCGCTTCGCTCTTCTGGATCTTCACCATGTGGACCTCTCTGCCAAGGTGCTGGTAGTTTGCCACAGTTTCACATCGAAGTTATGGCAAACTAGCTGCACAGCTGAGAATCAACTTGATTTGGGATTGAACAAAGGCACTTTGACAAGTTGATCATCATGAGCTTGACAAAATCTGGTCCCTTGGTGCCCTTGGATTCCTTGGTGGTCAAAAGCCTGCAGACAAGTTCAGCCAGTCCCCTCTCAATCACTGGCCATCTCACTCCAACCATTTCTGGTTGGTGGTTTGGAACATGTGAATTATTTTTCCATTCAGTTGGGAATTTCATCATCCCAAATGACGAACTCATATTTTTCAGAGGGGTAGGTATACGACCAACCAGATATGAATGCGTTTTTTTTTTTTTTTTAAGCTTGGGTATCGCCCATACAAGAATGATTAAACATGGCTATTCAGAAATGGGGAAAGTGGGAAAAGGATATGATTCACCACGGGAATGGGGGGGGCCTTCTGAAAAAACACAAAGGCCCGCTTTGAGATGAAGTGCTTCCCTGGGAAGTTACTGTAGCCCTTGGTTTTTCGAACCTTGCTTAGTAACGCACCATTCATACCTGGCTTATCCCACATATATATATAAATATACATAATATACATATATATATATACATAATATATATATAATATATATATATACATAATATATATATATATATGCATGATATATGTATATATACATGATATATATATATATATGTATGTATACATGATATATATATATATATACATAATATATATATATACATACATAATATATTTAGATATATACATATACATATACATATACATATACATATACATATACATATACATATACATATACATACATACATACATACATACATAATATATATATATATAGAGAGAGAGAGTATATATATATATATAGATATATCTACGGATCACAAGTGTGGTGATTATGGGATCTACGTGGATGTAACCAGCTAATCCTTTCATATTATGGGATATTTCACTATCCCCTTAGAAATCCTGAAAATGATTGGGGATGAAACCCACTTCCTCTGCATTTGAATGCATTTGATTTTAACTTATAAGTTCTTGGATCATGCAATTTCCCAAAGGTTCTGACATTCACCACCCCACGATCTGCTTTTTAAGGCACTTGAAACCATGTTTTTTTCCCGTGAGGATTGCGAGGGGCGGTCGCAATTTCGAATATTTGCCTGGAGAGGAGCTTGTAAGTCGTCTTGAGCAACCATCTTGCACCGTCCAAAAATGGGTGATTTAAGCAGCCAAATTATGGCGATCTGGTATATTCTCATTGAATTCAAACGGTATGTTTATTGTTGCCATGGTACCATAGCCATTATATTTGCATGATATTCATCACTATGCCATTTATCTAGCATGTATACTCACAAAAATATCCCATCAAGATTCCATGAAAATCATCGTTAATCCATCATTTCTCAGTTCTATGGTATATCAAGGCAATTCAGGGTATAATCCCCATATTTAACTTGATTTAAGCAATACTGAGGATTTAAGTGAGAATTTCAGTGGTGCTTTAAGTGGGAAATAAAATTCGGTATTTCAGTGTGTATTTCAGTACTGAGAAATTATCCTGATATGCTGATCCATACATTCGTTATCTTAATAATTATCCTGATGATAATGTGTGATCAGGATGATTATTAAGATAACTGTTATTAATGATAATTATCCTGATGCTTATCCGCACATTACTTATGATTAGTCACCATCCACCACATACCGTATTTTTGATTGATATCATAAATCTATCATCTAGGGTATAATAAAACTAGTCCTCAATTATTTCAGGGTATAATAGTTGAATATATGGAATTGCCATTTGTAGTTGATTTACCTATCAAAAAATGGTGACTTTCCAGTTCGCTATGTTAAAATATCAGAGGCAAATCCATCATAATATCAGGATATAATATGATATATACATATATAATTATCAATGATAGATATAACTTTGGTAATATATGGTAAATTTCAACTATAACTATGGCAATATCATCCCCATATTTTTGATACTTACCATCTGGTTATGACTAACATAGCCATGGAAAATCACCATTTCTAATAGGTAAACCATCTATAAATAGGCCATGTTCCATGGCTACTTGGTGGCTCATCGCACTTAGTAAGTGGGTTATAACCCCAGTTATAAGTGGATTAACCCTACTTATCCCATTTATAACTGGGGTTATAACCCACTTACTAAGTGGGATGAGCCACCAAGTATGTTAAATAAATAACCAGAGGGTAACCCCCATCCGCGCAGGACCCTTACCTTGGCGCCCGCCTGGCGCGGAGCTTCGTGGAAGGTGTGCAATCGCAGGGCGTCATGGCCGTTCTGCGCCTCGGTTTATTGGAGAAACGATGGGAAAATGGCGGGTGAACCGGGAATTTGTAGGATTTTTCCTAGGGAATTGATATACCCTCTGGTTATGACTAACATAGCCATGGAAAATCCCTTATAAATGGAGGTTTCTAGCTGGGAAAACCATCTATAAATGGGTCATTTTCCATGGCTATGTTAAATAACCAGATGGTAACTATAGTTACTATGATTTATAAACCAGCAAACATCACTGGTGGGGCACCACCTTGTAGGAATTTTGCTCGGGAATTTATGGGGAGAACGGAAAATGAATGGGGACCTGTGGGACATTGTGGGTTCATAAAATCGCTTGGATCTATGGATGTTTAGTCCCCCAACTATGGCAATTTCATAGGTTTTGAGCCATCCCCAACCATTAACCATGGTACCCGGCCTGGTAAACTGTCCCATGACGAACTGGAAAGATCCACCATTATGGGTAATCCACTATTTCGACTGGGCCATTTTCAATAGCTATTTTGACATTTGACCAGAGGGTATTCAATATCCATCCAAATCACCCGAGGAAACACTTTGGGTTCAACGAGCAAGATCCTTGGTTTGCAACGGCTATTCACCGCGCGGCGATTCAACGGGTCCTGACTTTGCGACCGGTTTTAGGGGACCCCTTGATGGACCTAGTGACCTAATGGTCTGGACATGTCTGGATCATTACACTTAGACACCCGACGCCATGGGTTTATCCCAAAATCGCTCCTTCTACCCTAAACACCCTCCCTCCGTCGTTTTCTTGAGCTTCGCACCTGGTTTATTGATGTTCATCATGAGAATCATCACCATTAAGTGCACCATTTGGTTGTCTTGGCTGGATTTGTTAGCCTCAACCACCTCCTGGGTCACACGAGCTTTGCGTGAGCCTCGATATCATGATATCATCATCAAGGGTTGGACGTTCCACGATATTCAGCTTTGGTTGCTGTTTCCTTTCTCAATTTGGAAGATCAGAAGTTCGTCGCTTTGTGCATTCATTCCCACGCGGTGGACTTGCGTGCACACTTTTTCATGGGACCCAGGATTCCAAAGTTTTCCCCTAATACTCAAGACCTTTAAAAACATATTGTCAGGGACCCCCAAAAAAAGCTGCCGCCCAACTAAGTAGTGTTTATTTAGGGATGAAACCCATTTAAAATGGGACCTCAATTTTTGATTTGTTTTCCAAAGGGGATCACTATTTATTTTCGTAGAAACAATCGAACACACAACATTCAGAGCACTTCCTTTCTCCTAGTACGAAGCAGCTTGCCAAAACCTTGATTTTGTACTTTGAATGTCTTCATCTTGGGGCCCCTAGTGTCACGACTTTCGCTAAGAAAAGAAGACTATGCAGAACACGGAGGATATTGACTGAATACCTATATGGAAGCTCCAAAGCGAGGCTAGGAAGATAAGTTTCCTATCATGGCAACTTGTGGGTTTGTAATTTCAGGGGTGTCGCATAAACCCTAAAGAATAGCTTGGGCTAGTTTAATGACATTATCCCACTAGAAGTCCCACAAATCAAGAATCAAGGATCTGTCAACAAATCACCAAGCAGAGATTCGGCCTTGCATCATATGTTTCAGAGCGATTGAAACTACCAACTAGTGCCAGAATACGATCAAGGGAACATATCTAGAAGCGTATACCACAAGTTTTCAGATATTTCCTCTAATATGATTATGTCTCTTCAAGAACGATATTGAGCATCAATGAACATCTAAATCCATTCCAAATCCTTACAGGGATATATTTGACAAATGTCAAACATGGTTAAAAGATAAACATGTAAGTGTTCATTGAAGTTTCATATGAGAGCTCATATGTTGTTCCAAATGAGGTTCTTAAAATGGGGATCCCCAAATCATCCAAGTTTTTAAACTGTAGATCAGTTTAGTATTGAAATCTATCATTTTGGAGATCCCCCATTATAAGAAACCCCCAATTTCTATGGTCTACAACCAAGTTAACTAGGTTCACCATGGTTTATGGTATAATATAAATAATATATAGTTAAAGTGGGCTATAAACCAACAAACATAGCTGGGGCCCACCTAGTGAATGTCATACTGGTTTATGTATGGGGAATAATTTTATGAAATATGGATAAATATGGTTCCTTTATGTTCATTAGATTCTATTAACCAGTTTATGTAAGGCAATCAAGCACTGGAATGGTCTCATTTTTGTTTTTATATCATTGAAGTGTTCAAATTGATATACATATATACACATATATTTGTCAAATCTAAGTTTCATGTTTCTGGGTAAATTACAACGACCTCACTGCGACCTCACTGGAATCATGTTCAATAAGGGAAATCACCCCCGAATGGCCTTAATTCATGTTAGTGATTCAATTATTTGTTTTTAATTTGCCCAGATATTTGTTGATCTAAGTTTCACTATTTTTCCGAAAAATGATATCTGGGAAAAAAATGAACTTAGATCAACAATACGTTGATATTTGTTGCCCAATTTTTCACTATACCATAGATAATGTGGAAAACAATTACTTTTATATATTTTTCAATATGCAGTGGAGGCTCGACTATAACAGTCGGCCTCGTGGCACGTCGGGTGTCATTGACCGGTTTTGGCACACTGGTTTGCGAAATTTGGGCAACTCTTGCTTCTTGAACGCTGTTGTTCAGTGCATCCTTGCATGCCAACCTTTGCAGCAAAATTTTGGCAGTCACGGCACCGAAAGGGCCGTTGCGCAAATGCATGGAAGATGTGGCGCAGCGGCTCCGGAGCGAGGAGTGGGATTACATAGCTCCGTGGTCTTTGCTTCATCAGATGTACCTCACTGATTCTGTCAGATTTCCGCCTGGTGAGCCTGCAGATTGCAGTGATTGCTGCGAAATCCTTTTGGCGACTGGCATCAGCAATCCCAATCTGTATGTGAGAAGTTCGGAAGCTACAGGCAGGGGTTTGAAATATGGCAAGTGTGACAATCTAGGTGTTGTAGTGTGCTTTCGTTGAGACGTGTGCTGATTGTGTTGCAGGATACTTTATTTTATCATTACATTGATATTTGTTGCACTTAGCCACTTTATCATGATTACATTGATATTACTTTAAAATATTGGTTTCCCCACTTAGATCTCCGTTCTTTTCCACTTTACCCATCCCCGGTCAGCTTGAGGAAACCCATCGAGACGACGTCAACTCCGTGGTGGACGATCGTACTGCGCGGCTCTGTCGGCACGGCGTGCGATTTCAATGGGATTTCAATGGGATTCTGATGGGATTTACATGGGATTTTTATGGGATTTTTATGGGACTATGATGGGAATTCAATGGGATTATGGTGGGAATTATCCAAGAAACACGTCAGATTAAAGTGTTTTTTTGTGGAATGTTAATGATTTCTTAATGGTATATAAATTATACAAATGGTATATTGGTGAGTACCCTCTGGCAATTTGACATAGCTATGGCATTTAGTGGAATTTACATAATGGGACTTAATTTATTGGGATATAAATGGGATATACATGGAATACAAACGGGATACTAATGGAATATTGTTGGGATTCAATGAGATTTTTATGGGATTTCAATGGGATTTTTATGGGATTTCAATGGGATTTTTATGGGGTTTTTATGGGATTTCAATTGGATTTTTATGGGATTTCAATGGGATTTTTATGGGATTTCAATGGGATTTTTATGGGATTCCAATGGGTTTTTTATGGGATGTTTATGGGATTTCAATGGGATTTTTATGGGATTTTTATGGGGTTTCAATGGGATTTCAATGGGATTTTTATGGGATTTCAATGGGATTTCAATGGAATTTTTATGGGATTTCAAATGGGATTTTTATGGGATTTCAATCGGATTTTTATGGGATTTTTATGGGATTTTTATGGGATTTTTATGGGGTTTCAATGGGATTTCAATGGGATTTTTATGAGATTTCAATGGGATTTCAATGGGATTTTTATGGGATTTCAATGGGATTTTTATGGGATTTCAATGGGATTTCCATGGGATTTTTATGGGATTTCAATGGGATTTCAATGGGATTTTTATGGGATTTCAATGGGATTTTTATGGGATTTTTATGGGATTTCAATGGGATTTTTATGGGATTTCAATGGGATTTTTATGGGATTTCAATGGGATTTTTATGGGATGTTTATGGGATTTCAATGGGATTTTTATGGGATTTCAATGGGGTTTCAATGGGATTTTTATGGGATTTCAATGGGATTTTTATGGGATGTTTATGGGATTTCAATGGGATTTTTATCGGATTTTTATGAGATTTTTATGGTATTTTTATGCGATTTTTATGGGATTTCAATGGGATTTTTATGGGATTTCAATGGGATTTTTATGGGATTTCAATGGGATTTCAATGGGGTTTCAATGGGATTTCAATGGGATTTTTATGGGATTTCAATGGGATTTTTATGAAATTTTTATGTGATTTTTATGGGATTTCAATGGGATTTTTATGGGATTTCAATGGGATTTTTATGGGATTTCAATGTGATTTCAATGGGGTTTCAATGGGATTTCAATGGGATTTTTATGGGATTTCAATGGGATTTTTATGAAATTTTTATGTGATTTTTATGGGATTTCAATAGAATTTTTATGGGATTTTTATGGGATTTTTATGGGTTTTTTATGGAATGTTTATGGGATTTCAATGAGATTTTTATGGGATTTACAATTGATTTTTATGGGATTTACATAGGATTTTTATGGGATGTTTATGCGATTTCAATTGGATTTTTATGGGATTTCAATGGGATTTTTATGGGATTTCAATGGGATTTCAATGGGATTTTTATGGGATTTCAATGGGATTTTTATGGGATTTTTATGGGATTTCAATGGGATTTTTATGGGATTTCAATAGGATTTTTATGGGATTTCAATGGGATTTTTATGGGATGTTTATGGGATTTCAATGGGATTTTTATGGGATTTCAATGGGATTTCAATGGGATTTTTATGGGATTTTTATGGGATTTTTATGGGATTTCAATGGGATTTTTATGAGATTTCAATGGGATTTTTATGCGATTTTTATGGGATTTCAATGGGATTTTTATGGGATTTCAATGGGATTTTTATGGGATTTCAATGGGATTTCAATGGGATTTTTATGGGATTTCAATGTGATTTTTATGGGATTTTTATGGGATTTCAATGGGATTTTTATGGGATTTCAATGGGATTTTTATGGGATTTTTATGGGATTTCAATGGGATTTTTATGGGATTTTTATGGGATTTCAATGGGATTTCAATGGGATTTCAATGGGATTTTATGGGATTTCAATGGGATTTCAATGGGATTTCAATTGGATTTTTATGTGATTTTTATGGGATTTCAATGGGATTTTTATGGGATTTTTATGGGATTTCAATGGGATTTTTATGGGTTTTTTATGGGATTTTTATGGGATGTTTATGGGATTTCAATGGGATTTTTATGGGATTTACAATTGATTTTTATGGGATTTACATAGGATTTTTATGGGGTGTTTATGGGATTCCAATGGGATTTTTATGGGATTTACATATTTTTTTAATGGGATTTACAAAGGTTTTTTATGGGATTTTTAATGGGACTATGATGGGAATTCAATGAGATTATGGTGGGATTTTTAATGGGACTATGATTGGAATTCAATGAGATTATGGTGGGATTTTTATGGGACTATGATGGGAATTCAATGGGATTATGGTGGGATTTTTATGGGACTATGATGGGATTTCAATGGGATTTTTATGGGATTTTTAATGGGACTATGATGGGAATTCAATGGGATTATGGTGGGATTTCAATGGGATTGTGATGGGAATTACCAAGGAAACACGTCAGATTTTCGTGTTTTTTGTGGAATGTTAATGATTTCTTAATGGTATATAAATTATACAAATGGTATATTGGTGAGTACCCTCTGGCAATTTGACATAGCTATGGCATTTAGTGGAATTTACATAATGGGACTTAATTTATTGGGATATAAATGGGATATACATGGAATACAAACGGGATACTAATGGAATATTGTTGGGATTCAATGAGATTTAGCATCTGGCAATTTGTTACACAGCTATGGTACAGACGGCCCATTTAGTTCGATGATTTATGTATTAAACATAGTGGTTTTTAATAGGCTATGTTAGTTTTCCAGAGGGTATCATTTTCACATTTGCCATCTACTGCACATAGCGAAGCACTGAAGCAGAAATGAACAGAAAGCAAAACAAACATAAAAAACACACAAATAACATTAATATGTCCTCCGGACCAAAAAATTGGAACCACCAAACAACATGGCAAACAACAATTCGGGATTTAGAAACCAACAAGCACCAAAACCAAGAAACCAACAACCAAGATTTAACAAAAAGTCTTCACTAACATCTCGGACTCAATGTGGTCCATGCTATGTAGAAGCATGCGTTTGGTACGTGCCCAAGACTCTTGTGCAGATCTTGGTTCACGTGTACCACACGCTTCCCTGTCCAGTAGCCACGATATCTTCAAAATTTTAGGTATTCGGAACTTGGCCTTCTGCTTCTGCTCCAGTATCAAACTTGGATTAACGTCTTCGTTCATCTGCCTCATGTCGTTTTTCACCGCAGTCGGGACCGTGCGCATGAAGAATTGCACGCCAATATCGCGCCAATCTGACAAATAAACAAATAAATAAATGCATAAATGCAAATATATGTAAATACACACATAAATGATCATAACTGTGTGGTTTGTGTGGTTTTTCATATTGATCTTCCCATATATTCCCTAATGTGGTTTAAAACAATGCCATAAACCATCCCCCAGTCATCACCATTTTTATAGGTGGTATGATTACCATTCCCAAATGGGTGGTTTATTATTGTTTTTCCCACATTCGTGGTTTTTAATTAACACATATAATTCATATAATCCAGTTTATCGGGGATAGTTGCACACAAATGAATGTAAATACACACATAAATGATTCAATGATCATAAATGTCTGTTTTTCATATTGATCCCATATATTTTTCCCTATCTTTATTGATCTTCTTTGCACGAGCAGCGAGCGTTCAGAAAGGTGGGAACTCTACTACCAACCCTTTGAAGCTGCCATCGATGCCGGTGCAGGACATGACATTTTGTGGGATTTCGTGGGATTTCCCGTGGGATTTCGTGGGACTTCATGGGATATCTTAAAGGGATTTGTGGCTGGAATTTAATGAGATTTAATGGGATTTAATGGGATATAAATGGGATTTAATGATATTTTTTGATTTTGAATGGGATATTAGAGGAATATCATTGGGATTTAATAGGGTTAACCCTTTGGTTATTCAACATGGCGTTGGATAATGGCACATCTATAGATCATTTATGATCATTTATGATGACTTACGTATATTAGAAATAGTGATGTTTCCCATCTATCTTAGTTTACCCCAGGGTAAGCCTTGAAAGGGATGATGGGAAACTTGACGGGAGCGGGGTAAAAACATACATTTTTTTTTTTTAAAAAAAACATGCTTTTGACATACCGTTTCGTTGAAAAGAATTGATAGAATCGGGATTTCAGCACAAAAAAACCGACATCATGGGGTGTCTGAAACAACCTTTTCCTTCTCTTCTTCAGTGGATTGATTCAAGGGACGAATGCTCCGTAATAAGTGTGGGGTTCCTGCAAATGTACCCCCTCAGCCAATTCTGTTTCTCCTGCGTTGTGATGGTGAAATCAACACTTCCAACAATGAATTGCCATTTGCAACTGTTCAACACTGATTTCTACCAGGTTTAAATCCCATTGTTCTCTTTGTCACGGGTTTGTCTGAGACCAGGGTACGTACTGGATCAAACTCTGCGTCGGAAATAGTTTCAATTCCCTCCTGCGAGAAAGAGCAACAATCCTCAGAAATTGAAAAGCGCGAAATTTAGAAACAAAGTCGGAAACTACAACACATGTTGATATCAGATACTGGTTGGTGGTTTGGAACATTTTTTATTTCTCCATATATTGGTAATTTCATAATCCCAACTGACGAACTCCATCATTTTTCGGAGGGGCGGGTCTCAACCACCAGCCAGAGGGTATCCGATATAAAACACCATATAAATCCCATTAAACCCCAGAAAAAATCACCATTTTTCCATCACCAACCAGGATAAAATGCACAAAAACCCCTCTGAACTTCAAAAAGTTGACCTGTAACTACAACGGTTCGGGTCCAAGGGATGAACTGCACCGCTCCCTTTGGAAATCTTTGGATTGGCTGAAGCATCGTGTATTTACATATGTAATCATAGGTACCATTATGTACCTACCTAAAAAAACATATGTACAAATGCATACAGCATATATATATATAGCATTATATATCGTGTATATATATATATATAAATATAAATATGCATAAGTATACGTTGTATATTTACAAGATATCCCAGATGCTCCATGTATAATATATTTACCTACATTTGGGCCAGTTGTTGGGTAAATGTAGGTGTGCATATTCCAGCACCATGGAGCATATGGGTATGATATATTTATCCACATGGGTATGGGTCAATACCTATCTAGATACATTTTTAGGGTGATGAACATCCATTTTAACCCAGCTATGACTTGGGGTTCACGGCACGGTACCAGGGTTTTGACCCATCCCCACATATTGATGTTTCATGATATTCTGCCAATTGAGTCTAGAAAAATTGGAGCTTGGAGGAGCCATCATGTGCTCCTACAACAAGGTGAACAACACCCCGGCCTGTCCTTTGTTCTCAAGCATCGGGACGGCGTTGAAATGTGGAAAAGCCATGGTGAAAGCCAAAGATGTTGGGTTATATTTGTTGGTTACCCTCTGGTTATGTCAAACATAGCTATTGAAAATGATCATTTACAGTGGATTTACCCATTAATAATGGTGATTTTCTATAGCTACGTTAGTTTACCAGAGGGTAAATCCCATGAAACCCTTATGAAATCACCATTTTGTACATGTTTCACCTGTTTCTACATTCATGCTGGGTAAACTTCACGTCTTTTTGTAAACGTTGACAGGAGCTACCTTCCTAAACGTTACCCACAATGTTGTCGTTATTGCCCTGTCCAAGCAGTGTGGTAAACCCAAACATGAGCATGTTTCTGGAAATGGTGGTTAATTTGTTTGACTGTACCCCAGGGTAAACTTGGGTGTTTATGGGGACTGGTCAAAAAGCAGGGTGACATTTTTTGTGAAATGATCATTGCAAGACCACGGACTCCGGTTTCCAAACGGATATTGTCCAGTAAGATTTGGATAGCGAAAACCCATGAACATTCATCAAACGGAAACATAAAAAAACACCATTGCCCCTGATTTCTAATATTTCTATCAAAAGAGCTTGGTTGATGGATTCGGGGCCGACTGTGATCACTTATAAAGTTGCCTGGTTGGTGGTTTCAAACATTTGGATTATTTTCCATAGTATATGGGATAATCCTTCCCATTGACTTTCGTATTTTTCCAGATGGTTAAAACCACCAACCAGTTGCTATCAATCTTTCATTTGTCAACCGAGACCTACACGTAAACCACGGCCTGGAAGTGGATCTGTCTATTTCAGTGTCCCCCAGACACGGTTCAATTTTCCGCATGAATGTGGTTAAAACAATGCCATAAACCATCCCCCAGTCATCACCATTTTTATAGGTGGTATGATTACCATTCCCAAATGGGTGGTTTATTATTGTTTTTCCCACATTCGTGGTTTATAATTAACACATATAATTCATATAATCCAGTTTATAGGGGATAGTCGCATTGTTTTAACCACATTAAAGAATTTGAGTGATGCTACCGCGCCTTGCCGAAAGGTGATTTTGCGCCATGTCCACCCAAACATGTTCAAACCCACCTGTCAGCTGAGGGTGCCGCCTCCCATATGTTACCGTCATTTTCACGATCAAGATAACCATTTTAGGGTACCCTCTGGTAAACGTTTACATTGCTATGGAAAATCACAATGTTTAATGGGAAAACTCACGATTTCAATGGCCATTTCCCATAGCTACGTTAAATTACCAGAGGATATATCCCATTTCAGACAAACCTATACAAATATATATATATACATATCTCTCATCGAATGTATGCCAGATTTTTTATGCCAGATAGATCCAGATAGAATGTTACTCGTAGATATGTGTCAAACACAATAGTGTCAAACACAATATATATATACATATACACCTACCAGGACGGCCCAAAGGGGTCCCACTGTGATTTCTGAAATTGACATCTTCAGGGGTTGCCATCGCCAGCCCTTCGGTCATGGCAAGTGTTACGGATGTCCTGATCTGGTTGGTGGTTTCAAACATTTGGATCATTTTCCATAATATATGGGATAATCCTTCCCATTAACGAACTCATATGTTTCAAGATGGCTTTTTAACCATTCATTCATTTCCCATATTTCCCATTTTTCCATAATATTAGATTATCCATTGACTAATATTTTTCAAGATGGTTTTTTAACCACCAACCAGTGATAATTGCTATTCTATGGTAGTTTCATCTGATCATGATGATATGCTATTCTATGTCTCACCTGCCCGAGTAACGTAGAAGACTCCGTAGCCCCCAGCCAAGGAACGCGTATCAACATTATCAACATTTAGCTACGATATAGATAAGGGATCATGTGCATATTTTCACATGAAACATTAAGGGGAACCAGCCACAATAAAATATCATTTCTATACTTGGTGGTTCATCCCACTTAGTAAGTGGGTTATAACCCCAGTTATAAATGGGATAAGTAGGGTTAATCCACTTATAACTGGGGTTATAACCCACTTACGAGCCGTGGGATGAGCCACCAAGTAGAAGTTGGCAAAATCGATGGGGTTCACCAGCCTCAAGCGGTTCTTTGTCCCACCGGACACGTAAAAAAACGACGATCGGATCGACTGGTCTGATCGATCGCATCCTGGAATTTTGGACCAACAAGCTTGGTACTAGTCTGCGAGACGAAAAAAAAAGAAGTATGGTTTATGGTAGATGTAACTCTAGTTTTTATGGGGGTTATTTCATGGTTTATAAACCAACCAACTTACATCACTGGGGGGCCCCATCCTGTGGGAATTTTCCCACTTTCCGAACGGGATTGCAAGATGGTTTGGAAATCATCATGGTTTTCCAAAGATTGCCCCAGCTGTTATCTTTCTCCAATAGGAATCCCCCATGCCGTATCACCCAGAGAAAAATATGTCAGTTGCTTGAGCTATGTGGGCTAGCTATCATGTTGGTTGCTATGTTTATAGACTTTGTTGGTTGCTATATGTTGCTATCATGCGAGTGAACCTGGGGCCTCAGTCATCGAAGATGCAGAGGTATGTTCAAGAAGCACCCTAAACAGCACTAAGCCACCTGCAAGAATAAGGGGCCCCGCTATGATTTTATGGTTAAGGGGTGCCATAGCGCCACCCGTTGCTCCCTGCTGGTGTGTATAACTCTATAATATATTAACGGAGTGTATCTCAGACGATCAGATAGAGATGTCAAATAGAATGCCAGAATGTGTCAGATTGTATGTCAGATAGACAGATAGAATATCAGACAGAATGTCCGAATACATGCCAGATTAAATGCCGATAGAATGCCAGTTTCTGGGGATTACTGCAAGAAAACACTAGGATTTCTTTCAGAAGTCGAGCAGCAGTACGATACACTGGACTTCACTTTTGGCGTCGCGGGCATCCACTGGTCAGCGCAATTTGAGCAGGGATCCAAAGACTAACTTCCATCATATTGTTTCGTTCAGGATGAATCGAGGCAACTGCCAGGTCAATTGCGCCACAGATGATTGCTAAAGCGCCTCAGAAGCATATCTAAACTCTAAGCGGGGTGCTTCCAGCAGCCGTCGTATTTCGCGGAGCTTGGGCGGGGGGCGCGCAAGCCATCCGCGAGTTTAGACACCCACAAAAACCCCGACCACATTCCTAGGTAAGTGTTGCAACCCAAGGTTTCTTCCCCAACCACAACCCATATTCACCGGGATTCGCCAGGGGAGAGCTCTTATAACATATTTTCACGGCGTTACACCAGATTTATGGCCTTTTCAGATTTCTCTTTCAATTATAGTTGATCAAAATAATTCACATTATGTTGATTTTTTTCAAAGGTAACCGCATGTAACCGCGTCAAATCTGACCCTAAGCGTTGTCAAACAGAATTGTTTGGCGGCCAATGAAGTTTTGGCTCATACCGAACATGTACGTAAACAAAAGCCCGAAGTCCCGAGATGTAACGGCCACTCTGTTTTGGCTGTTTCGTTGTTTGCGTTCATGACAAGCCATCAGATGGTGTACACCAAACAACATCTTTGCGCTATGTTGGTTTTTACGGTTGTAACTGTCAAACAATGCGATGGCTGAATTGGTTGCATCACCTGTCGAGCACAAACAGAATGATTGGTATGACACTGCGCGGTACTACGATTTCAATAGCGAGGTGTCGTATTTACAGGAACAAAATCCGCTCAACACAGTCATCCAGGGTTGACACTTTAGATGCAGTCAGGCGATATCCATTAAGAATACTCATGTGACTGGGCCGAGGTGGCAATCATGATCTCCTCACACGAGATTTGACCCTTGGATGCGAAACGTCCGGGCACAACATGAGATTATAGGTGGGGACCATGATTAGTTCCATGGACTTAGCAAAACTGGTGTGGTTCACGTCCGCCAAAAATTGCCACGTTATCATGGAATGTGAACAACACGTCATGGTTGGGTTCAGCATATCCAAGCTGACATGCGAAGTGCACACCCTTCGCGTCCAAGGAGGGAAAAAATGAAGTTCAAAGGTTTCGTGATGAGTTGCTTGAACTGCATTCAGCAGCCCCCCGAAATGATAGACAAATGGTTATCCAATGTTCCTTGTTTTTGTTGATAGGATGATATTCTTTTTGGAGGGTACTATACCGTGGATCAGAATGACGGAACATCTTTGGAATGACACTGGGGGGTGTACGGCAAGGATCGTAAATAATGAGGATCGTATGTTTCTCAAACATTTTTGGAACATTGTTGTGCTATATTGTGCTATTAAAGAAAATGTGGTTGGAATAAATTGGAATATATTATTGAACGATACTCATACTAATCATTGGAATTTGCGAGGATTAGTTTCGCTCATATCAGCAAACCCAATGAATTTTCTGTCTAAGGTGCACAAAAAAAGGATCCTTCTGATCCTCAACATTATCCCGGACACAATTGTTGACGTATACGACCAATGTAGCCATATGTGGCCCAATTTTTTCAGAGATATGTCAATTTTTCCTGGCACGATCAGTGGAACTTAGGCCACCAACTTCACTTTGGCACTTCATTTTGGGTCAATTACAATTACAAGAACTTTACCAGGACGTCACCATAGATGATGGTGAGTATGGAAGTTCATATCACCAAACATTTTAGTTTGGTGAACTAATGTGGGACACCCAATGCCATACAGACAGCTACCATTTGGGGATGGTTCATACATAAAATTGTCATTTTGGGGATGGTTTATTTGGTTTATGGCATTGGGTTTACCACACTATTCATATCTATTCATTAATCTCTGGTTGGTGGTTTCAAACACGTTTTATTTTCCAGAATATATGGGATAATCCTTCCCATTGACTAATATTTTCAAGATGGTTTTTAAACCACCAACCAGATCTGAATTATTTTGAGAGTTGAGACTTTGGAGTTTTCAATCAAAACAGATCGGCTCTGCAGCATCCACTGCAGCATTTTTTCGTGGACGCGCCGCAAATCAGATTTGGGATTCGATGTATATGGGGGTTTCTTAATTCTTAAAATGGTAGATCTCCAAAACCATGGGTTTCAATACTAAAACGGTCTAATGTCGATGATTTCTGGTTGGTTTGGAACATTTTTTATTTTTCCATATATTGGGACTTTCATAATCCCAACTGACGAACTCCATCATTTTTCAGAGGGGTAGGGCTCAACCAGCAACCAGATATTATTTCATATTATTCCAATATAAATGTTGATATATCCCATATGATTCCATATTATTTGCATTAACCCCACCCAGATATTATACCAACCAGATATTCCTATTGAAAATTATCCATTTCTAGTAGGATTTACCTACTTCCCAAAGGCGGTAGACATCCATCTGTTCCATTCACCGGTGGCCATGTCGTCACCATCCCGTTAACCATGACTGGGGGATGGTCCAATGGGAGATCTCCAGGATCCCATTTTAATGGAGGAACACGTAAATGTACCAGCCATGTTTGGCCATATGAATTCTGGGGATATTCCCTGAAATTTAGGCCTGAAAATTCTTGGCCAAAAATATATGGAATCGGTACCTCCAATCAATCGGTTCCTGTTGCATGGCCATTGATCTGGTTTTGACTAACATAGCGAACTGGAAAATCACCATTAGTAATAGGCAAACAAACCATCTATTTCTATGGGCCATGGCTACCATGGCTGTGTTAAATAACCAGAGGGCAATACATATCAATACCCTATAATTACAGATCCTACGTATATCATCGTATATCCATTTGTTGAAATATTTAAATATTATATATTAGTATTGGGTTTGTCACACGATTGGAAATTGGCAACCACATCGTTACGTGACGTCACGTGACGTCACGTGACGCAAAGGGTGGAACTCCAGTGCACTTTGTTTGAACAATGGGGGCTTGCCAGGTGTTGAGTGGTGGCCGGATTTTCCCTTATTTATTTGGCCTGCAGTCCCTTTTTTTGCGGCTGATTCCTATGCTCTTGAAGTGCGCATTACGTTGAGATACTTTTTAATACAATGCACCGACTGTTTCGGCCATTTGTTTCTTGCGGCATGAAAGAGCAAGAACTGCTCGGTGGAGGTCCAACTTAAATGTGGTGCGTCAGTCGTTTGGTCCAAAGCGGTTTCCTCAAAATGGCTGTGAAATGCCCGAACGAAATGGGCAACAATTGATATGTTCATAGGAACATAACCTTATCAATGGGCAGTTGAATGCATTTTCCAGCAAACCATGTTTGATTGAAGATAGGGCACCGTCTTTGGTGAAGACCTAAAATGAAATCCGGATTTCAAGGTTTACATAGCCTCCAACAGATCCAACGAATATGAACCCGGCGATGGCAAGGATGGGTTTTTTAAGACTAGTTTCCCACCAAAGGATGGTTCACTATATACCTTTCTTTTAAGTTTTTTTTAAAACAAAAACATCCTTTGTTTGTTTGTTTTGTTAAAAAAAACATCCTTTGTTTGTTTGTTTTGTTTTTTTTTTAATGTTTTTTTTACTATATCACCAAAGGATGTTTTTTTTTAATGGTTTTTTTCATGGTTCACTATATCCCATTCTGTTGAATGAGATCCCCAGAAATTGCTTGGTTTGTACTCCCATTCCCTGATACATATTACATCTGGTTACCCCCATCCTCATCATATCGATATAAATTTGGAAAAACCAGTCGAGCAGTGTTCAAAACCCTAGCAGTCCCCTTATACTGCTTGGTCGAGAACGGGATTCCCTGTTCATGGATCGTGAAATTCCCCTAATATTGGTAGGTATATTATATATATATATACATAGTATATATTCCCCGAATTAATCATCAACCAACCATCATTTATCAGTGATCTCTACCTATATATGCCCATATTTTGATGCTTAAAACCCCTAATAACCCCTATTAAATGACTACACCTTCCGGTCATTTAACATTAGCTCTGAAATGGACCATTCGTGGATGATTTAGCGATATTTACCGATTCAAAACGGTGAAACAACCATAGCAAACTGTTAAATAACCATATGGATCCATAGGGTATATGATATTCTGGTTGGTGGTTTGGAAAATTTGGATTATTTGTCCATAATATATGGAATAATCCTTCCCAACTGACTAATGATATTTTTCAGAAGGGGTAGGTATACCACCAACCAGTAGTACAATCAGCACATATGATCCAGATGTAGATTGATGTCATTAGATGTCCTTATTTGACTATCAGTGGTTGGTCATATTACCCTCTGTAAACTAACATAACTATGGAAAATCACCATTTTTTATGGGTAAATCAACTATAAATGGCAATTTTCAATAGCTATATTAGTTTACCAAAGGGTATTATCATCAACCAAGGGTTTAACGCAGCCGTTCCAGCGCCAAGTGAGGTGATTGGGGGGCCACTCATTCCACCGCACTGTCCGCTGGTCTGGATATGGAGCCTGGGCCTTGCAGGGAGCGACCATGCCCACTAGCTGGGGTGAACCACCAAGTAGGTGAATATACGAAGTAAATATGCAAAAGCTAAATGTCTGGAATATCATAGAATTGGATGATGGGAAAATTTACAGGAAAGCCCTATATTTGATGGTAAAACAATGGTTTCCTGTAGATTTTCCCATCATCCAATCCATTGAGTTAAATGTCTGGAATAAGTATATTTTCCGGTATAATATGTTTTTTTGAAGTTTGAAGCATAAACTTGTCAATTTAATGCCAGTGAAAAGCATCATTCTGATTTTGCTAGGCATTTAAGATGTAAGATTCGCTGCACATCTGGATTTGCCAGGTAGCACCCAAAACCACATGATTGTAGGACTTGCAATTGGTTGCATATATATATATATATGTAAACATTATATTCATATATCTATATAACGCAAACAGATAAGTCCCAACGAACATTATATATATGAGATATTACGGGATTGCCAATAAGCTACTGGCTTCAGAAACTCAGAGTCACTACTGTGTAGCGGGATTATGATGATGTGATGCTTGAAAATAAGGCCAAAGCCAAATCCGTCACTGAGGATATGCCTGGCTTCGATCGTTTCTACAGCTTTCAGGACGGAAAGATGCCACAAGCTTCGCTGATCAACCTTGGTGAAGAGTAGTTTGGACAGTCTTGTGTTTAATTAAATGTGTTGATATTACAGGAAATTGATTGTTGTCTCTGTTGTGTTTTCATTTCTATCTCTAGTATTTCTTCATTATCATAATTTGTAGTATTCTTATGAGTAGAGAAATTGTATTTTTATTTGGCATGTAAAAGATTACTACTTACCAGTAGTAGTACAACTTACTTAGTAGTTTTGGCATTGTAAATATTTTAAAAAAGCGCAGCTCGCAGCTCGAGAAGTTATTCGATTCGAGCCTAGATCCATGAAGATCCAACGGCTTTTTTTAAAGGTCAGTTGGTTTCCTGGAATGTGAGGCCCCCAAGATAGCTAGGTTGGTGCACATAACTCCAATAACTATGGTTTATGGTACACAAATAACTATAATTACTAGGGCGAATCTAAACCAACTAACATCACTGGGGGGCCTCACATTGTGGAAAATGTGCCCAGGTGCAGCAAAACTGATCCAATCTTACCTTTCCTTGTATGCCAATCTATTCAACTTCCAAGGTCGGTACTTGTTTGTATAAAACGCAGTCCCGAAAGAGATAACCACCGTATAAAACCCAACTAAAACTGGTTGGTGGTTTGGAACATTTGGATTATTTTCCATTTCATATATGGGATGTCATCCTTCCCATTGACTAATATTTTTCAAGATTGTTATTTAACCACCAACATGGCTTTTATTTTTCCATATATTGGGAATTTCATCATCCCAACTGACTTTCATATTTTTCAGAGGGGTAGGTATACCACCAACTAGAAAAATAGTGCTCCATTGTCGTTGTTGGAATCTATGGAAACGGTGTTGAGTTTTCACGGTGCTTCCGGCGCCAAAGATGATGGTTGCTGGAAGGTTTTACCCCAAAATTTGAAATAGTTTCTAAGTTTCAGGTAATGGTTTTACCCCAAAATTTGGAATATTTCATTTTCTGTTTTGGGAAGATGAATATTGATGAAGGATGAAGGGGCAACACATGGGTATAGTGTATCTACCCGTTGTCGTTCGGTCCATGTCCCTATGTCCCTAAACCTATCATTCCTCAGGTCCTAATTTTTCGCTGAAAGCAATGCTTTGATCGACATCTCCCATTTTGTTGGAAAAATGCCACGTAATTAGTCTGGGTAAATTTCATCACGACCTCACTGTTCTCCCTCACTGGGAATCATGGTTTATTTTAGGGAAATCATCCCCAAATGGGCGAACTATTCAGGGTAGTGAATTATTATGATTTACCCAGATTAGTATCTATACCTCCATTCTTGATCAGACACACTTTTTTGAACATTACAAAAACACTGGTGGAAGAATGAAGCTGTTTGCTCCATCAATGTGAGTGAAACAATAGTATACCATCCCCAATAGTAGACCATAGATAGATGGTATAGACCATGAAAATATCGGTGGTTTCTTGTTTTCCCCTTATAAACAACCCCTTGGACACCCTGGTTCCACGGCCAGGCCGTTTCAGCGGCGAAGGACCTTGGTGAAGGGTTGGTGGAAGATTTGTGGGACTTTTGGAGGACTATGGAGGGCAAGTGAAAAAGGGCAGACACACACTGGATCCATAGAATTTGCTGATATTTTCCAAATACCCACATTAGATTCCGATTATAGTTGTTTTTTACATCCCCATTGTTGGCTGGGGTTATAATGCCACTTTGGGGTCTACTACCTATGGGACACTCTGGGTGGTATTTTTGGTGCGATTACACAGTTGTCAAGCTCTGAAATATATTATATGACTTATCCTGAATAGATACTGAAGATTTACTTTGAATCATGAGTTTGGCGTTGATCATAAATCCAGTACAAACTAATTCTTAGTATCCCAGCTAAAGATCATCACTTTCTTTTTACGGTATCTATATGATTAGAGATGTGACTTGGTTTATATCTTTCTGATGGTGAAAATCATTGAAGATCACTGCCAATTATCATAGGGGTGTGACCGTAAATTTGCCTTGAAACCAAGAAACCGTCGTACTATATGATGATATATAGTGATATACACTGGTTAAGTGTCCTTACTTTGCGTGGTTTGTTCCTCATTGTATTTCGTTTGATCACCTTTGTTGCATGCCAAATGACGGCTCAATGAGGGTTATTTTCTTCTGGTAATTGGATTGCCGTCGTTGTTCTTGTTGTTCTTGTTCTTGTTCTTCTTGTTGTTGTTGTTGTTGTTGTCGTGGTCGTCGTGGTCGTCATGGTCGTCGTGGTCGTCGTGGTCGTCGTGGTAATGTAAGATACTTCAACATACTTCAATTATTTTTGCGGGTTTCTCATCGTTTCTCCGTGTCTCCATCATTTTTGAGGCTTACCCTCTGGTAATTTATATAACATAGCTATTGAACATGGCCCATTTGTAGTTGATTTACCCATTTAAGATTGTGACTTTTCCAAAGTTATGGGACAGTTTACTGGAGGGTATACCATAATTATGCGGATATTGTTTTACCATTAAAACCATTTAAAACCATTATAAAACCCTTATAAGACCATAATATAACCATTATATAACCATTATATAACCATTATATAACCATTTAAAACCATTTAAAACCATTTAAAACCCTTTAAAACCCTTATAAAACCATAATATCACCATAATATAACCATTATAACACCATAATATAACCATAATATCACCATTATAACATAACATATGGAAAACGCAACAGCCAGGTCTGTGTTTTTTTGCCTTTAACAAAAACGCCAGGAGCGTACATCGCTCAATGACTCGGTGCGACGAATTCTGGCCTCGATGTATCACTTACGCCTTGATGAGGTCAGCTCGGCCCAGTGAAGCTAGTGGAACCATAGAATTTAATTGATTTATAATAGAAAATGGGTAAAGTGGTTATTTAAATATTTTCTATAGTTCCACTTCCATACTATAGTTCCACTACCATTTAATTGATACCATACATGATTTATAGAAACATATTTCTAAGTAAAGTATGATGTATGGTTATACAGTGTGATATAAGTGTTGTATAATGTTATATCATGTTATATCATGTTGTATTACCCTCTGGTAAATAAACATAGACCCTGAGAATAACCAATTTTTAATGGTTTCACTAGTCTTCCAACCCCGACAACTGCCAGGGTCTATGTTAATTTACCAGAGGGTAATTTTGAATCTGTGATATATTGCAGTCAAGATGTACAGCCTGTACAGCCCGATCCAGTGATCCAGTCTCCCCAGTCACGGTTGGATCAGCGCCAGAGCCGAGTTTTGATAGAGGTTATCCTCTGCAGGATGGTGCCCCCCAGTTATAAGTTGGTTTATAAACCCCAGTTAACTATAGTTATATCTGCCATAAATCATAGTTATGGGAGTTATAAACCAACTTAGCTAACTATGGGGCACCACCTTGTGGTAAACATACAAAAAGCTATTGAACATGGCCATAGAAATAGTGGATTTACCCATGAAAAATGGTGATTTCCCATAGTTAGGTTAGTTTACCAGAGGTTATAGTTATATCCCACTGGGGGTTAAGGTACCATGGTTTTACCCATAAAAGTAACCTCAACTGCACGCCCAGGTATCACGGGGGGGCGAAAACCAAACAGAAAATAGAAATGATGAGGTGTATCATAGGGATTGATAACCCAAAAAATGTTATGGGGGTTTATAAGCAAGCATTCTCATGGGGATATACATAATATATATGCATATATATATATATGTATAGATGTATACAATTGGAAATAGATGCAAACATTTGATATGGGCCTGTCTGAAAAGCAGGGATGATAGACCACCCACATGGCGAATTTCTTCAGGAAAGATGATGAACCAGTGGATAGAAGGTCACCCTTTTTCAGACTAACATACACATTTATGCTGGGATGATTTTTGGGATATTTTGTTTTTCTACTGGGACAAATTTTGGGACGATGGGTACCCGGCCTGGTAAACTGCCCCATAGCGAACTGGAAAGATCCACCATTTTCACTGGGAAAATCCACTATTTCTATCACCATTTTCAATAGCAAACTGTTTGACATAGCCAGGCCGGGTACTCAATTTTCGCATTGTCAGTATTTGTCAGTCCTTGGTGAATGCTACTGTTGACCGTAGTATGGGTAGATGTCCGAAAATTTCTCACATGGCGCATACTTTTCATCTCAAAGTGTTACAGAGGGTATCAAGCATTGAGGGGCTGGGGGATGGTAAACACCCTCCAATTTTTTTTAAAGATGGCTAGCTGGGAAATCCTCTATAAAAGGACATTTTAGTGGATTTTCCATTGCCATATTTGACTACCAGATGACAAGCTTCGTGAATGGTAAGTAGTCTCTTGGGAAAGGGACTGGTTGTTGACGTTTCTTATTGGGTCAACCTTAGTGAATGGTAGGTGAGAGCTTACAAAAAATGGTAGGTTGACCTGAACATAGACAAATCAGCTTTAGCCAACACATAGGTTAGTATATATGAACGATTTGGCATCCAACACGTAGTGAAAAAGGTCAAAAGGGCTAGCAAATAAATGTGCAAGGGCGGCCCAAGGCCTGTCAGCTATGGAACTCAAAAAGCTGCCAGCACGTGCCATTTAAGACCGAATGCAATGAAGCAATATCGGCATTGCCAGATCGGTTGCTAAAAGGCCCCCTATCAACAGAAGGGACACTCCGGTGATGAGGTGTGCTGCTCAAGTCCTAGTCACTCAGTGGGTGGTAACGCAGTAACCAAGCCTGTAACCAACGCCTTCGCTACAAGACCTGGCTGCAGTCTTGAGGACAATGCAGTACACTCCGTTAGAATTGCCATACGCCCTACAAAGGAACAGCATCAAATAATAAGTCCCTCTTGGACTGTAGGATTTAATGGCGGTTGTCACAGCATGTCCCTTTAACATCATTTATCCACACCGTTTGGAAAGCCAATGCTATCCAACACATGAACGACTAGCCATGCAGTTTTGGGAGCAGTGTGTTGCACATCTCTTTGCTCAAAAATGGGGTGTAGAATAATTACTCCAAAGCAGTGGTTTCTTTGAAAGGGGGAATGATGACATACTGTGGATGGTTACGAAATCCTGCACCAGTTGGCAATTATTGGGATTCCTATGAAACACTAATGGGATTATAATGGGATGTTTACCACCTACCAACTGGTGCAGGATTTCTTCCATCAACCGTATTTGCGACAACCTCAACTAAGAACTTACCATACTGATCGCTTTCGAACTGCTGGGATACAAATACAAATCATCCAAGGACTACTCCGATGTGATAGTAGATGGCGAAAAAGACAGAACAAATTACATATAGATGTCATAGATGTCCTTACTAATCATTACCACCTTTAGAATTTTAGGGCCTTTCTTATGTGACATTTGAAGAACTACCCTCTGGTAAACTGTCCCATAACAAACTGGCAAATCACAATGTTTAATGGGAAAATCCACTATTTCTATGGCCATTTTCAATAGCTATGGAACAAATCACCATAGGGTATCCCCACATGTTCCCATCATTTACCCATAAAACCATATAAAACCTCCATTTCTAGTTGATATGTCCTATAAAACCAGAGGGTAATTCAACTTCTGTTCGAACGACTCGGGGTCGAGTCCGCCTGAGGGGGATGCCGGCTGCGTGCCACCCATGTGCATGCATCAATTGGCAGAGGCGGGGCCAGGGTGGGGCCAGGGTGTCGGTGGGACTTCACCCAACCACTGGGTGATGACATGAGTTTCATGAGTTGGTGGTGACTGGAACATGAATGGATTATGACTTTCCATTCAGTTGGGAATTGAATTTCATCATCCCAACTGACTTTCACTCCATCATTTTTCAGAGGGGTAGGGCTCAACCACCAACCAGATTTGTGTTAAAACATGATTCTTGCATATTCTTAGTGTCTAAGAAACCAAACCCGGGATTAGTGCCAACCCTGCTTGATTAAGGGGTTCCGGGGTTCCCCCTAAATAATTAGTTCATTGGCTACAAAAAAATGGTACCCTCCCAATTAAACAGCCAAGGGCTCCGAAAAATTCTGGGCCATCCTGGGTTGACATTGACATGTCGCTAATCACATGAATTCAACGGAACCACTTTTTTTTTTAAAGCAAAGGCAAGCGCCTTCCAGCAGACATATGACCTCTGGTGTCATCAAATGCGGCGTACTGGAAAAAGCGACCAGAAATAGTCCGATGATTTTCACCGAAAATCGACGAATTCCCAGCCACGTTTCGGGACAGAGGGAAGATGTGGTTTTGTATCAAGGTATGCCAGTGGATTTGTGTCCGAAAACTTGCAACGGGTTGAATTCTGATGTGCGAAGATTCATTTCTTATTGGTGATATATCCCATTGAATCCCAATACTTATCCTAATTGTGGTTGATTATATAGCGCCACGTTTAACAGTTTATCCGTGTTAACATCAGTTTCCCGTCTTAACATCGTCCATATTAGGGATAGAATTAACTACCCCAGTTTCATACACCATATTTTTTTTGGATGATGATGGATGTTAAAATGGTCATTATTTTGTATGACCAAGGACAATGCATTGATTAACAATTTTATGTCCAAATGTTAATTACAATCGTATCATCATTTCTCTGGTTTTCTTGATTGTGAAAGTCTACCTGAAGGATATGTAACTTATGAGAAACCATCTCACCTCTTGAAGTTCTCGAAGTCCACTTCCCGTTTTGTCTCATTCCACATAGCCTATAAGTTGATATCAGATTCGTGATTAAAATATATTAAAAATTACATTATCCCAGTATCCATCAGTATCCCATTCAATTCCGGTACTTACCACATTTTCAGAGACTTAAACCTCGTTAATCCCCATTCAAAATCCTGAAAAATGCCATGAAACCCTGTACTTTCCATGTTTCTTTTTGTAGGAGCTGCGCACGCCCAAACATGTGCAGCTGGCGCAAGACATCGCGTCCAAGGTGGCGTCCGCAAAAAGCTGAGTGGAGATCAATATTAAATCAAGGTGGATCATATCCTGGAGGAATACCATTGAGATAATCCAACTGGAATATACTAGTAGACTAGGATATAACATTACAGATTATATTATAACTATATAAATGGGCATATTATCATATATTATCCAAGAACCGATGTTTCTCCTTGGAAGTGTCAAAGAGAAAACATGCCACATGTCTCTGCCAAATGTCTACATGTCACAGCTGATCTTATGAGTCGGGAAGGATTTGCAAGATACTAGTATGGTGATTGATCAAAACCTATACCCTCTGGTAAATTAACAGTTTGACCCTGAAAATCACCAATTCTTAGTGGAAACAAATCCTCCAAGCTCTATCTGGCAGGGTCTATATTAATTTACCGGAGGGTAATTGATTATATCGTTGGTAGACTTATCGAGGACTATACAAACCAAGCTTGGAGGATTATAATTGATATAATTATTGATCAATGGGAATTCCAGGATCCTAAAATGGAGGTACTGTACCATATAAGGCCATATTTTGGGGGTATATCCCCTTACATAGGCCTTACATAGGATACCAAAATCATATCCATCAAATCAAGATTTCCCAATGGAATTGGAGGGTTACAATTGACTGGAGAAATAGAATTGATATAAGTGATATATTCCAAGCGGGATAATTGGAGGAATATAACTTCATTGGCTTAGGATGTTTTGAGGAACATCTACCGGAAACCATGCACTTGCCCGTGAAATATAGGGCTTTTTCCCTTCAACCAATCCATGGATAAGTGATATAATCCAACTGGGATATGCTGAGAAAAACCCCTCTAGATCCACAGTTGGATGTGGAGTTTACCCACCTTTCTTAGATCAGTGTCCGAACTGGAACATCTTCCTGATTTTCCACTAATGTGAATTTATATACAACCGGAATGGGTAAGTGAATGTGGAAGATGATCATCTATTATCCGGGTTATACCCTTCATTGGATTGGTTCAAGGGGCAATTTACAGGACACCCATGGAAACGCCTATAGTTCACGGCAAAAAAACAGGTTTTCCTCCGGACATCATCCAGGTATCGCTATCAAGCCACTTCTCGCGCCAGGATTACTCTGGCTGTTTGGTTTTTGAAGGGGTGATACTAGCAATTTTGCTGGGGATTACTGTGGGATTTTTGGGAAACATATGATTTCTAAGCAGGCAGTAAATGGGACGTTTAAGCAGCAACAATTTAGGAATGATAGAGATTTAACCTCTAGTCGAATAGCTTTAGTTGCATTCTTTTAATTTAACCGGGCTTGCGACATGTCGCCATCTCAAGGGATTGCCCTATGTCAGAAGCTACGCTCAAGGCAGGACGAGTTCCGAGTCAGCTGCCCGGGACATGGCGCAGAACACACAGCGCAGATAGCAACATCTCAGTTGGAAAGGAGCAAGGCAGCCACAGATCTTCGATCATCTTCGATCTAGTGATTTAACATAGCTATTGAAAATGGCCCTTTTAGTTCGTTGATTTACCAAGTAAAACTGCGATTTTCCATAGCTGTGGGACAGTTTACCAAAGGGTAACCATCAAGATTTGTTCATAAAATGGAAAATTCATGGTGTTTTCACGAACCCTGTTCTTTTTCCCTAATTTCATTGGATGATTATCGATATTGTTCAGGGTCGTTGTTTTTTTTTTCCATCCCCAGTTTATGGTTAACATGGGATAATGTTAATGAATGGGTTCATGGGGTCTGATGGAAAATATATGGGATTTTCGAAGCAAAAATTCTGGGTCATAAAGGTGGGATAATGGTTACGGATAGTGGTGATTTTGGGATGTTAATATATGTTATATAATGAGAAAAGTCAGGGTTGCCAACATCAAATGATTGGGTTGATTACTGTAGTGGTTCCATAATGAGGGTAATAGGGTACACATATACATATATAAATAAATATATATATAAATATGTGGGTAGTAATGATGGGATATACAACCGCATAGATGGACCAAGCGCACAACAAAGTTCCTTTAACTGGTAACATTTATATAGCTCCTTTAACCTTTTCCTTTTTGTTTAAAGTTGGTTTGGTCCCTCTGTTGAATGTTACTCGCTCATGAACTAGAAACACCAAAGAAACTTACCCTCCTTTAAACGTTTAGATGTGGAGAAACGACCATGAATGCAGATCATTTTCGAAACGGATTTCCCTATGGGTTTTCCACATTTATTTAAACATTTACCATTTGGTGGTCACACAACTGGGATGAAACCCACCATCAAGCTCCCAGCAGCGCCGCAGGCTGTGATCATGCTGAAGAACGAGCGGGATGTACTTCCGTTGAAAAGCTCCAAAGTTCGAAACTCGAAAAATCGATTGTCCGAGGGAACTTCCAGGAACTTCCAGTGTGATGTCTGATGTCCAACAAAAAGTGTGATTTAACCGATTTAACCAACAAAATGGAGATATTTCAGCATCAACATCACTAGCTGATCATGGGATTCCGCATGAGTTTCGAGTTTCGCGGTTTTGCTATACCCTACAATGTGGTGCCCCCACAGATATAAATTGGTTTATAAACCCCATTAACCATAGTTATTTGCGTATCATAAACCATAGTTATTGGAGTTATGTGCACCAACTGAACGCTATCGAACGGGGGCCTCACATTGTAGTATTGATTATGGGGACACGTCGAAAACCATGATGTTTTATGACGCAAAAACCATTGGATTTTGGAGCAAAAAATACCCTTGGTGAACTGATATTCTAGGGTGCCAACTCCCCCAATGCGAAAAAACAAATCAAAAGGGTTGACTGATGGGCGGGCAGGGACATTGATTTTTGGCCTATCAGGGCCTGTAAAAAAAACTGCGACTGGCTGGTGTAAAAAGCATGTTCCATCTTACCAAATGCCATAGTGATGATGATTAGTCAATGATGATGGTGACGAGGATAGTAATAACGATGACGATGCTGATGACGATGACGATGATGATGATGATGATGAGGAGGAGGAGGACAAGAGGACAAGAGGACCCCAAGGGTTTTCATAGTTGTGTTTTGTGTTTTCCTCAGGGGGTGAGTGAACGCAACAAATAGAGGAAATCCAATAATATCATGTCGTGAGTGCCTTTGGTCAAGGTACACCTTGGTGAAAAGTAGTCTAATAATCATTTTTTTTCTGACAGAAATGTGGGTATCTTTATTGTCGTTGTAAGGAGGCAATGATGCTAATTAGTCGTTCGGAATTAGAAGTATTAAGACAAACTTATAGTTGTAGAGGAAAGTTTACTTTGACAATTTTCAGCCCTGCACCAGTCACACCACAAACCAATCATAAGAGTTTGCCCAGAGAGAGGGTATGCCCCAAAAGTGTAATCATTTTTTCATGGGGAACATCCAGTTTTCAAGCCCCAACTGGGGATTTTTTTTACGACACGGCTTTTGGATGTGCCTTAAATAGTGATCGGATGAAAAAATGGTGGTTTTCCAATCCATAGGGCTACCCCCACATCATCCATGTTAGATTGAGATTTTCCATGAAATCAACCATCCAGCGAGCTCGCTTGGGGTACCCTCTGGTAATTTAACATAGCTATTGAAAATGGCAATTTATAGTGAGTTTTCCCATTAAAAATGGTGATTTTCCATAGTTATGTTAAATTACCAGAGGGTACCTGTATGACTATGGAAAGCCCCAAATGGATCCAAGGTCAACGTTGGGATACCGAACCGCAGTGAACCGATCCCAGGAAAGTTGGGCATCATTGGTTCAGCAGCCGATTCCTTATACCAAGGTCTGTGGAAGATTCTTGGACATTTGGGATGATTAAGCTGGTAAATTCTGGTAAATATTACTTGAAGTTGGTGGAACCCCTTGGCTGGACCCCCACTTTTATTAAACTCCCATTTTAAACAAAAAACAGGTGGGTCCTCAGGGTCCTTTGACATTCCATGTTTTTTTTTTTGCGGATTTTCCAGGCTTTTCTTTTGGAAGGACATCATTCTTTGTTTCAATGATGAAAATGGTCCCTTTTTGTGCCTGAACTCGTAGGTTGAGCCCAATGGGGGAAGGGATCAGAATATCTGGGTGATATACAGAGAGCAGCATTGAATCATATTCAATCAGCATTCCCCCCCAAAAAATGCCATTGCATCCTTGCATCCCTTTAGATTTTAGATCCATTGATTCCATCCGTTGGATGATGTATATATATATATATACTAGGTCAATCTTACATGGATACAAACTAATCCTTTAGTCTTTTGGTATTAATGGGAATATCTACGTTCACCAGCAAAGAATTTATTTTTTTGCAGGGTATCTAAGACTGGCAATGTATATATATATAGATGGGTAAATTATAACGACCTCACTGTTCTCCCGAACCCTGGAATCATGGTGAACAAGAGGAATCATCCCAAAATGGCCGCAAGTTTCAGGTTAGTGAACTATTACAATTTGCCCAGACTAGTTGGTTCAGCATAAAAAAAAACAGCGTGAATGGATATGAATGGATACTGTTCACAACTGAGACAGGCTGAGACCCATGGATGATTTCTTTCCACCGTAGCTTGCTACACCCCAAGCCACCCAATTTTGGAGAGCGAATTAGGATGCCAAATATTATTTTGACATATTTTGACCAATGGAGACATCCAAATCAGCATGTTCCTGGTCTCAACATAGGGGTTTCCAAAAATTGGGGTACCCCAAAATGGATGCTTTATAGTGGAAAATCCTATTAAAATTGATGATTTAGGGGTACCCCTATGACTTGGGAAACCTTCACATGTTTCAACATGTTTCAAGCGATAGCAACGGTCACCAGGTTTGTCTAACGCCACATCAATTTTTGCGTTTCAGTTGGCTCCAGAGCTGGCCGTTTGATGGTTTTTGTTGGGGTTGAATTAGTGGATCATTGGGGGTGATGATAAACCATAGTGATTATCAAATTATCAAACAATATCAAACAATGGTGAACTGGTCTGGTTTGGAACATCTGGATTAAAACTTTCCATTGAAAGGTGATTCCTGCGTCTTTGGGTCACGGAAAGCTTCTGAAAGGTCCGGTCCGCAGAAATGTGACTTTTTCGGTCATCACAGTGGATGATCATTTGGAAAGTCATGGGGGAATTGGAAAGGAGATGGCCGCCACGGCCATGGCTGGCCAGCGGCAGTGATGGATGGGTTTCGGGTGGATCGCATGCAGGTGGCTAAGGGAGGAGGGGGCCCTGGAGGAGGCCACTGGCAGCAGCATACCATGGTGAAGACCGTGGAGGGCGATGGTTGGAGCAAGATTCTAGCCTTGTCTTCAAGCATACGACTTGTAATTTGCCATTGATTGTCTTGTTAGATACTGCACTCAGTTAGCCAAGGTCTATACTTTTAATATTTTTGTCGTGGGTTCGCGCCGCGCGCGCGCGCGCCAAAAAACTTCCTTTAGCGCGCGCACGCGCGTGCGGCGCAAACCCAAGAAAAAAAGTTCAATCTTGATAATCGATGGTCCTTGGGCAGGTACGTTGGGATTTTCATCATCCCAGCTGACTTTCTTATTTTTCAGAGGGGTTGAAACCACCAACCAGTGAATAAACACTATAGTGATTAATTATTGGGATTAACAACAATAGTGAATGGATTATCAACCATAGTGAATTATCAACCAGTTGATTATGGTAACCATAATTAGTAAAACCATGATCCAGGAATATGTTTTCGATTAATGGTGGTTTTATTCATGATTATAAACCACAATTATTTGGCCAGCTATAGTGATTATCTGGTTGGTGGTTTGGAACATTTGGATTATTCTTCCATATATTGGGAATTTCATCATCCCAACTGACTTTCATATTTTTCAGATGGGTTGAAACCACCAAACAGTCAAAAATTAGTACCCTCTGGTTATTTAACCACAATAAATGATATTAAATGATTATAAACCATAGTTGGCTCCTAATTGGGTCAGCTCAAATGCTGCGATGCACGATTTGATCCTTTGGTTTTCTGGCACAGATTTTTTGGCATACCATTTGTTTTAAAAAATCATGTTTGTGTGAAAAAGAGATACCCTCTGGTTATGTCAAACATAGCTATTGGAAATTGCCCATTTATAGTTGATTTACCTATTGAAGATGGTGATTTTCCATTGCTATGTTAGTTCACCAGAGGGTAGCCTTGTTTTTAGATAAACAATCTTGCTTGTATGCCTTTCCTAAAGGATCCAATCTCTTATTAAACCCTTCTTAAAGAACAACACCTGAACAAATTTTCAAGCCACTAGACGATGAGAGGGTCCAGTTCACTTTAGTATGTTTGTTGGCTAGATTCGGAAGTCTTTCTCTCCCTCTCGATCTTTTTTTTTCTCTTCTTTTTCTTCTCTCCTTTTTCTTTCTCTGTCTCTTTCTCTTTCTCTTGATATTTGTCTTTCTCTTCTCTTTTTCTTACTACACCCTTCTAAAAAAAATAAGGTGCAAAAGGTAACGCAATCAACATCTATGAGTACAACAAGTACTACAAGTACTATGAGTTCACTGGCAAAAAACATGTTTCACGTTGCTTTCAATTGTCGCCAATAAACATCCTTACTTAAATGTAGGATTGTATCCTATCTGGGAAGATAATTTTAAAGAAACCCACTTTAAAGAGAGTATAGCATTTATTTTCGGGCGTGGGGTGGGGCCACACAGAAAAAATCAGGGCCGCACATTACTAGGGATATTCACTAACCAACTAATAAAATGAGTTGAGATAGGTGTATTTTTCAATATTTTTCATATGTCCCAATTTGCAAATGGCACACCCCGGCGCTAAGGATTATGAAAGGCTTACCTGAGGTGCGCTGCATGAGCTTGGTCTTTGCGTGCCGATGTATGATGAATACATAAAGATACACAGGCCATTGTGATTAGTTTGAAATAATCAACATGTACTGCCAAACGATTCTTCTCGTTGAACTGCCAGGGCTAAGAAAAAAACCATGAACATTTGAAAGTGAGACATGGTGAGACAACTTGATGTACTCTCCAGCAATCAAACATGGCGGGGAAACCCCCAAACTAAATGGAGATATACAGCGGGACAATCATCGAAGTATTTCTGCGGATATTTCCAGCCTGTGCTATGTTTGAGGGCACAATGGAGTGCTTGAAATTTCCAACAGGTATATCCAGTTTATCTCCATTCTATTCCCCATTATACCACGCGTTTTTTGTTGGTCAAGTTCCCATTGGTTACAGTTGGTTATATCACTCATATGACTTCTATCACTTCTATCAGTTGTATATATATATATAATTAATATCTATATTAATATAATCTAATCTAATCTAATCTAATCGAATCTAATCTAATATATATACATATATCCATACCCATTATATAATTACATATATATATATATGTATAAATACCCCAACTCTTGGCAGCTTCCCAACCATGCTTGACATCTTCTCCTCCGGTCACGCGCCTTGCCACGTTGCAGGGGGACGTCTACTCGGGAGGCGGTTCGGGACACATCCACGGCAGTAACCATCACCTCACCACGGTGCTACAGGCGCCGCTTTACGGTAATGAAGCGGCCGGAATGGGAGGAGGTCAACAAAAAACGGTGGAAAGATTGTTTTTGATAATATTACCCAGATGCTCTATGTATAGTATATTTACCTACATGACTGGGCCATTTGTTGGGTAAATGTAGGTAAATATTCCAGCACCATTGAGCATATGGGTTAGGATATGCAATAAATATGGGATTTTACTAATAATATAAAACTTGCTACAATTGTTTCTGGGATTTGGATTGCTGCTACAACTGGTTGGTGGTTTAAGGAACATAACTGGATTATGACTTTCCATTCAGTTCGGAATTTCATGATCCCAACTGACGAACTCATATTTTTCAAGATGGTTAAAAACCACCAACCAGGCTACAATTGTTTCTGGGATTTGGATTTCATCAGTTTTAGGATTTGTTTTATAATATGAATGGATTATGCAATAAATGGTCCAGCATATTTTGAATTTACTATGAATGGGCGGTATACGCCATCAATGGTGGTTTCCTAAAATGTTGATTGGGTCAAAGTTTAAGCCTTGTGGGACCGCAGATTGACATGTATATTGTTGTGTATTAACTATCTGAAGGTTTCCTACAATGGGGGTACCCCAATAGCTGGATGGCAAATGGAAAGTTTTATTGAAATGGATAAAACCCATATTTGGAATTTATGATGTATCCACCATTTAATGATGGTTAATCCAGGCACATCAATAGGAGTTTGTTCATCTTTTCACTGTTGTTTGACATTAACCATGGGTTTCAAGACTAAGTCACGGTCCAATGACTTGGATGATTTTGAAATGGTACCCCAGTGATTTCAGAAACCTCCCAGTAGCTGCAAGTTTGTTTCATGGTTTTTAATGGGGCTTATCCATGGTTATCCATGGTTATCTGGTTGGTGGTTTGGAACATTTGGATTATTTTTCCGTATGTTGGGAGGAATCATTTCAATAAAACTAATTAGCCATAATTAGCCAATCTACTATTTCAATATTAGTAAATGGTATTGGTTTCCAATAAAACAATATGTTGGGAGGAAGCATTTGTTTTTCCAATCTGACTTTCATATTTGTCAGGGGGGTAGGCCCAACCACCAATTAGTTATCCATCTTCAAGGGTTTTTTCATGATATTCAATGGATTTTAATGGGGTACCCTCTGGTAATTTAACATAGCTATGGAAAATGGCCCATTTATAGATGATTTAGCTATTAAAAGGCTGATTTTCCATAGCTATGTTAGTTTACCAGAGGGTATAAAAGCAACACTCTCATGATGGGATGGGATGAAACCATGGAGACATGAATGGGAATGATACCCGGTGGTAAACATACAAAAAGCTATTGAAAATGGCCATTTATATATATATATAGTTGATTTACCACGTAAAAATTGTGATTTTCCACAGTTATGGGATAGTTTACCAGAGGGTATTTCATGGATCTGGACATATCAGCAACATGCTATCTTCATAGAATTGGATAATGGGACAATTGAAACCGGAAACCCCGATCAATTTGACAGAAGGGCGGTCTGGGAGAATTTCAGCAACCGTGGCTGACCGTCCCGGTCGAACGGGCCACGGTCAACCGGCCGACCGGGCAACCGCAAAAGGGCAACAGGGCCACGGTCAGCCGGCCAACCGGGCAACCGGAACGGGCAACCGGGCCACGGTCAACCGGCCAACCGGGCAACCGGAACGGGCAACCGTGCCACGGTCAACCGGGCAACCGGAACGGCAACCGGGCCACGGTCAGCCGGCCAACCGGGCAACCGGAACGGGCAACCGTGCCCCGTGGTCAACCGGGCAACCGGAACAGGCAACCGGCCGGGCAGTTGTCGCAGTAGTAGTAGTAGTGGTAGTAGTAGTAGTAGTAGTAGTAGTAGTAGTCGAAGTAGTAGTAGTAGTAGAAGAAGAAGTAGTAGAAGCAGTAGTAGCAGTAGTAGCAGGAGTAGTAGTAGTAGTAGTAGCAGTAGTAGTACTAGTACTAGTACTAGTAGCAGCAGGAGCAGTTGCAGTTGAAGTTGCAGTTGCAGTAGCAGTAGCAGTAGGAGGAGTAGTAGTAGTAGTCGTCGTCGTAGTAGTAGTATATAGTAGTAGCAGCAGTAATAGATAGTAATAGTAGTAGTAGCAGTAGTAGTAGTAGTCGTCGTAGTAGTCGTAGTAGTCGTAGTAGTCGTAGTAGTAGTAGCAGTAGTAGTAGTAGTAGTAATTAGTAGTAGTAGTAATTAGTAGTAGTAGTAGTCGTCGTCGTCGTGGTGGTAGTAGTCGTCGTAGTGGTAGTATAGTCGTCGTCGGCGTAATACGTCTTGTCGACATCGTAGTATAGTTCCGTATAGTCAATATATTGTCGTCGTAGTCGTAGTAGCGTCACTTTTCCTGGCAGTAGTGCTCGTACGATTTTCAATGGCATTGTCTGTATATTTCTACTTCGTTTTCACATCGCACAAAGTGGCTCGCAGTGCTTCCTGCTTTCTTTTGTAACAGCAGAACAAGTTGATCTCACACACTCCATGACTCCATGCATGATGCGTTTCTCGCATATTTCGTCAGCACATGTCAGTAACGTTTGTGAATTACTGACGGCACGGACGGACATCCACTTTTGAAATCTCACGCCTCAGCCTCAGCCATCATGGATTTTACGTGCGACAAATCGGCGCTGAAATTTAGCATGTCGAGCGCGGTGCTGCAGCAGCTTCTTGTGCAGTGCCTCGGTCACCAGACTTGCGCAATTTTTCCTCGGGATGCCTAAGTCAGGGTACGAAGTACGAAGGGTTTGTGCTTAACAACATGGACTACATATAGATGCCGGTTGAGTTTCTATCCATTGGTTGCATATCCATATGCATATTTTTGTTCTAGATTTGCGCAAATTGAGATATCAATGCTCTTTATTTAAACTTCCCCCCCTTGCCTTCCACAATGCCATGATCTAACATCTAACTCTTTATTTAAATTTCCCCCCCTTGCCTTCCACAATGCCATGATCTAAAATCTAACTCCTTTATCTAAACTTTCATCTAGTTTCCAGCTTGTTATTTAAACTTCCCCCCCCATGCCTTCCACAATGCCATGATCTAAAATCTAACTCTTTATTTAAACTTCCCCCCTTGCTTTCCACAATGCCATGATCTAAAATCTAACTTTCATCTAAATTCTAGCTTGTTATTTAAACTTCAATGCCATGATCTAAAATCTAACTCCTTGCTTGCCTTCCAGAATGCCATGATCCAAAATCTAACTCTTTATTTAAACTTCCCCCCCTTGCCTTCCACAATGCCATGATCTACAATCTCTTTATTTATACTTCACCCCCCTTGCCTCCCACAAAGCCATGATCTAAAATCTAACTCTTTATTTAAACTTCCCCCCCTTGCCTTCCAGAATGCCATGACTTCCCCCTTGCCTTCCACAATGCCATGATCCATAATCTGACTCTTTATTTAAACTTCCCCCCCTTGCCACAATGCCATGATCTAAAATCTAACTGTTTATTCCACAAAGCCATGATCTAAAATCTAACTTTTTATTTAAACTTTCCTCCCCCTAGTAGTAGTAGTAGTAGTAGTAGTAGTAGTAGAAGTAGTAGTAGTAGTAGCAGCAGTAGTAGTAGTAGTCGTAGTAGTAGTAGTAGTAGTAGTAGCAGCAGTAGTAGTACTAGTACTAGTACTAGTACTAGTACTAGTAGCAGCAGGAGCAGTTGCAGTTGCAGTTGCAGTAGCAGTAGCAGTAGCAGTAGCAGTAGGAGGAGTAGGAGTAGGAGTAGGAGTAGGAGTAGGAGTAGGAGTAGGAGTAGGAGTAGTAGTAGTAGTAGTAGTAGTAGTAGTAGTAGTAGTAGGTAGTAGTAGAGTAGGTAGTAGTAGAGTAGGTAGTACGGTATACGTAGGTAGTAGTAGTAGTAGTAGTAGTAGTAGTAGTAGTAGTAGTAGTAGTAGTAGTATACGTAGTATACGTAGTATACGTAGTATACGTAGTATACGTAGTATACGTAGTCGTAGTCGTAGTCGTAGTAGTAGTAGTAGTAGCAGCAGTAGTAGTAGTAGTAGTAGAAGTAGTAATAGTAGTAGTAGTAGTAGTATAGTAGTAGTAGTTGTAGTAGTTGTAGTAGTGGTAGTAGTAGTGGTAGTAGTAGTAGTGGTAGTGGTAGTGGTAGTGGTAGTGGTAGTGGTAGTGGTAGCCGTTGTGGTAGTAGTAGTAGTAGTAGTAGTAGTAGTAGTAGTAGTCGTAGTAGTCGTAGTCGTAGTAGTAGTAGTAGTAGTAGTAGGAGTAGTAGTAGTAGTAGTAGCAGTAGTAGCAGTAGTAGTAGTAGTAGCAGTAGTAGTAGTAGCAGTAGTAGCAGCAGTAGTAGTAGTGGTCGTAGTAGTGGTAGTTGTAGTAACTATAAGAGAGGTACAAGCGAAAAAAAAACGGAGGTACAAGCGAGAAAATTTTGGAGGCACAAGCGATGCGGCGACCAAATGATGGCCGCATGTTCGACAACCCACATTCAATGCAGTGAATATACCCTGAGGACGTTGCTTGCAATTCGGAATCTGAAGCTGATTGAAGCTTGGCTCATCAGAATGCTAGTGCTACACTGTTCGTGGCCGAACCATGCTTTGGTGGAATCGTTTTCGACAAATTAAGCTGTTCCGGCTCTTCTGGTGTTAGCCCGCGCAGATTTTATTGAAGGATATTTCCACGAACTTTTCAAAGTTCTGAACCATTTTTTTAGTCCACAATTTGTGTTTTTTCTACACAACCAGTTCACTGCTGGTATCCCGGTTTTGCTTCCCAAGGGAGTGACTGATTCTCTCGAAGCTTCTGCTGGCTTTAAATGAGTTTTGGCTGCAGTTTGCGCGCTGCGTTTGCAGTGTGGAAGATTGTTCGCGGCCATTGCAAAATTTTCTATTGTACCCAGAATACATGTCGGCCTCTTTGCGGCCCCCCTTCATTGCCGGCAACACTACCTACAACAACGCTACTGTTTGGCTGTCAAGTTAGTTCTGCGCTATACGGGGCGGGACAGTGAAGTTCTTGTTGATGCTACGATGGATGTTACTTTTCCTCTATAAAATGGCAGGGGTCAACCCCCTCCACAAAACATTTTATGTTATGGTTTTGTGGGGGTAGAGCCTTGCCATTTGGTATACAATTCCTTTATGCAAACTTTTTTGGGGGGTCAAGCCTTGGCACTTTATAGAAAACATGTGTGTGGAAGAAATATGTTGATCTTTTTTCCACATCTGATTGTTTTTGCAGTAAGATCTGTTTCAAACCATGTGTATGGTTGATCATGTTTGTTTACGTGTTCTCTTTGTAAGCGTACATGTTTTGACACATCCTGCATACACCATAAAACCATGACTGTGAGCCTCTGAGCCTGCGGCCAGGACTTTGTTGCTGCCATTCCCGCCGACGATGCGGTCTTCGACGAGCTACATCATTTGGTGCAGTGGATCCTGCCAGACGAGCTCCAGGACCTTCATGTTTGTTGCATGTTGTATGCTATAACCTGCTCTGTTCTCGGCTTGCTTGCTTTCCGGCTGTACTAGGACCTTCCGGACTGCCTTCGCGAGCACGAAGAGGCAGGTGTTACGTGGTCCCGGGGTACTCTCCAGAGAAGCCATGAGCATAATGGTTGCAGTCTGTGCGCTCCTCATGTATCAAAATTCAAAACCGTCGTTGCCTGCATGTCAACCACGGAGCTACCATGTTCGTTCCTTCATGATGTGTTGCTGGCCATGTCGTTTCATGCCAGTTGTTCATGAAACCGATTGACACATTGAGGGATACTCATGTCTCATCAGATTCTTTTTCAAAAGTCATTTTCCATTAGGTTGAAAGGTGCATGCTTCCAACATTTTCCTGTGCCAGTCCACGCTGTCTAATTTGATATTCCCGTGTTGCCCATGTGTTGTCAGGCCGTGGATCCTCCTCGCCTCCGTCTTCGCTCCCGCCTTCTTGCAGCTTCTATACCCACGACACCTCATTCCACGATTCCGCCCTTCTGCCTCCAAAAGCTTGTCGCTTGGAAACCGGTCGTAAGTCACCGCTTGCACGTCCTGTGAAAGGGGACAGCCGCTGTGGCTACAGAGCCCTCGCCGCCTACCTGGGGATATCCTGGTCGCAAGTGATGCAAAAGCTCTTGGGGTTGATGGTTGCCTCCCCAGGTCTCTTCACTGTGGCTGAAGTTTTGGATTTCATGTCTGCGACTGATCCAAACCACGCTTGTTCGCGAGCAGCGTGGCTCTCGAACCGCCACATCTCTTTGCTCTGCGAAGTTGACGCCTGGTTTCCCCAAGGTATTGCGGTGCACAGGTTCCAAGCCACGCCGGACTTCATTCACTTCGAACGCAGGGGCAACGTTCGTGCGGTTTCACGGTCAACCGTGCACACGGTCAACCGGCCAACCGGCACGGTCAACAGGGCAACCGGCAACCGGGCAACCGGGCAACCGTGGGGGGGGTGACCGGACCGTGCCACGGTCAGGCACGGTCACGGTCCGGTTGCCCGGCCAGCGCCACGCTCCAATTTGATGGTAAAAAACATGGGTTTCCGGTTAAAATTTTCCCTTAAACCAATCCATTGATATGTGGATCTGTTTGAAAATGGGTACCATCTGGTTATTTAACATAGCCATGGAAAATCCCTTATAAATGGAGGTTTTAATGGGAAAATCATCTATAAATGGGCCATTTTCCATGGCTATGTTAAATAACCAGAGGGTATATGTTATACCCTTCAAATGGCAATTTGCATGGGGATGATGATAATGCTCCATCAGAATTGAGGACAGCTTATGTTCAGACAGATCAAGGGCTCCCATAAAAGGAGATGGTCATCTCTCCATTGACAGGGCTTAAAATATCCGTTCATATCCAACCAAAAGGTTGCCTAATGTTGGTGGAATGACCGTAGCCCATATAATTAGTAACCTGTATATACATATAAAAAACACACATATATATATATTAACCCCAAAACATATAGAACAAATAACTCATCACTATTTTTTTGGTTTATCACTGCAATGTTTCCATCGAATCGATGAAGGCGTTGCGCTTAATAACTACTCCAGACGCGGCATCCAACAATCATACTTACCCTCTGGTTATGTCAAAATAGCTATTGAAAATGGCCATTTATAGCGGATTTACCCATTGAAATGGGGATTTTCCATAGTTATGTTAGTTTTGTTAGTTTACCAGAGGGTAATAAGTACCTTATAGTGATTACATCGTGATTGTAGTGATCATATCGTGATTGCATCGTTATTGCATAGTGATTATAGTGATTAATTATTTCACTATAGTGATTGCCGAGCGGTTCCCAGGCTCTCTCTCCTACGAGACGCTGAGCACAATGAGGAAGAGTCTGCTCAGCACTGCAGGAGAGGAGGAGCAGGAGCAGAGCACCAAGCCGATCGCGGTGCTATACTACAGACAGGTATGAGCCAAGAAGACGGCTGGGACTCAGTCCAGGGAACTTCTCAATTTGGCCACGGCCATCGACCTGCTCCTGCGGGGACGGGCGTCGCACGCACTAGACGTGCTGACGCAACGCTTGAAAGCTCAAGAAAGCGTCTCACAAGGGACGCAGTGGAGCGTGGCACAACGCATCGAAGTCCCTGTGGCGGAGCACACGAGCCTTTTGCAGAGAAGCGAGCTCGTAGTGAATTCTATAAATGATTGTACTCAAAACAATTGGGACCATCCGAGCATCGATGGGCACCCTCAGGATTAGCCAAAAGCCGGTCATTCATCGTGTCCGGCTGGCAGGCGATTGTGAACCGAGCAAAGAGCGAAGGTGTTGAAGTGCTCTCTGAATCTTGGCGCGGTTTTGAATTGATGAGATCAACATCAACTGGTTGGTGGTTTGGAACATGTGGATTATTTTTCCATGTATTGGGAATAGGCATCCCAACTGACTAATATTTTTCAGAGGGGTTGAAACCACCAAACAGTCAAAAATTAGTACCCTCTGGTTATTTAACAGTTCGCCATGGAAAATCACCATGCTATTAATAGGTAAATTATAGGATGCTTAAGGGGGGGATGGAAGGGGGGGGGATGAATATGTATCCCTAGTGCGGTTAGATCCATCCCCAATCCTTCTATAGAGCTCCCTTGCAGTGCTAACAGTAAGGGCCATTTTCCATGGCTATGTGAAATTACCAGAGGCTATGTCCAATTGATATCCAAGCAGCAAAACAGATCAACAATACCATATCACTTACCCTCTGGTAATTTAACATAGCTATTGAAAATGACCATTTATAGTGGAATTTCCCATTGAAAATGGTGATTTTCCATAGTTATGTTAGTTTACCAGAGGGTAACTTAGATTTCCAAGAAACTAACAGATCAATTTTCCCAATGAGGGATATGAGCTATGCATAGCCTGCTGCATAGCTATCCAAAACCACCGAAATTTCCCATGGATTATCCCCATTCCGATCATTCCGATGATTACCCGGCCTGGTTATGTCATAGAAAAATAGCGAACTGGAAAATGGAGGTTTTATATGGTTTTATATGGTTTTATATGGTTTTATATGGTCTTATAAGGTCTTATATGGTCTTATATGGGAAATATCCACTAGAAATGGATGTTTTATATGGTTTTATATGGGAATATATGGGAAAATCATGGGAATATATGGGGATACCCTCTGGTAATTTGGTACATAATGTACATAGCTATTGAAAATTGCCTTTTTGAAATAGTGGATTTATCCGTTAAACATGGTGGATCTTTCCATAGTTGTTTGTATGTTTACCAGAGGGTAAGTATGATAATGTACTTGGTGGCTCATTCCACTTAGTAAGTGGCTTATAGCCCTAGTTATAACTGGGATAAGTAGCCTTAATTCACCAAAAAAACTGCGGTTACAACCCACTTGCTAAGTCGGATGAACCACCAAGTGGACAGATATCATTTAATAGTTCCCTGTTTTTGCAGATTGGATCCATTATGGATTTGATCATTGTCATAGTATATTTAGTCCAAACATATACCACATAGCCCGTATCATGTCCCCATTTTTTTGGTTAATGCAAGTCTTTGTTGGTTAATTCCCGATTATTGGTGGTTACAACTGGTAATGTCTCCATTATATTGCAATTATACACCCATCAGTTGTTGGTCAGTATGTTTTAAGAATATTACCCTCTGGTAAATAGACACAGACCCTGAAAATCACCAATTTCTAATAATGGAAACTACTGTACTGTAGTCTTCCAACCCCGACAACTGCCAGGGTCTATGTTAAATAACCAGAGGGTAAATATTACCAATGTAGAGATACTATTGGACATATTTATTCCTCACTAACATCGACGAGTAAAATCACCCTTTTTGTATCCCCATGAATGAAATTCCCACGTTTTTTTCCACATATTTTTTTTGGGGGTCTCACCAATTCAAAATCATGTTGGTTGATGAATAGGGGTTATACGACCTACCCTCTAGTAAACTAACATAGCTATGGAAAATCACCAAGTTTAATGGGTAAGTCAACGAACTAAATGGCCATTTTCAATAGCTTTTTGTATGTTTACCAGAGGGTAATCATAAATAGGGGATGATCATGATCCATGGCTATCCCTGTGAACCAGAAAGCGAAAAAAACACCTCCGAAAACTAGTTGGCTCAACTGAGATTTTCAGAGTCTTCCGGCTGACCTGTGAAAAAAAATTGGTCTTGACGAAGTCGACTGTGAACCAATTGGAATGATTCGACGTAACTATTGCAATAAGTCAATCAGAGATATTTTTCCGCCAGAATGGTGCATTCTCATCCAGTCAATCATGCCCCGAACCCCCAACCCCCAGGCCAATACCACCTTCAGACACGAGAACACCAGGCGCGAACAAAAAAAAGGGCCGGAAGTGGAAGGTTGGAAGGTTAGTGCGTTGGAATCTAAAACATGTGAAGACCCAAAGTTACCAAAACTACAGAATAATATGTATAAAATTGTATAAATATAGTATATTACATATATGTATATATATAACTATGTATATATAATTATATACATTTATATATATATATACATACATACATATCAATCTATAATATTGGTTGTTGCACATGGAAGATTGACCACATGAAATGACAATCTGCGACGGAACGCATGTTCTAAGCGGGATGTAGAGGTACCTCGTTTTTGGAGCCTCGACCGAGTCAAGGTCCCAGGGGACCAGAAGAATTTCAGGGAGGCCATGAACCCTGGGTACCCAAACCCAAATCGATGTTGGTCATAGGTACTGAGCATATATACTGTATATATATATATATACACATATGTGTATGTATATATATATATATATGCATGATATATCCTATAGTAATACCAGATATACATCAGGGTAGTATATGATTGTGTGGTGTAGTATATGTCAACGGTTTAAGTTTGTTTATTTTCTTTATTTTGAGGCTCAACACATTTTTGCATGTCTTAGGCTCAAGTCATTGTGCGCTGAGCTTGGGATTCCCATGGCCATCAAGAGATGCCGGGGAATATCGCTGGATGATGATGAAGAGTGATACCGTCTGGTAAACTGTCCCATAACTATGGAAAACCACCATTTTCAATGGGTAAATCCACGAACTACATGGGCCATTTTCAATAGTTATTTTGACATAACCAGAGGGTATATAAATACCAATATGATATGCATAGCAGCACGGCCACAACTGGGAACGAGTAAAACGTGAGCTTATAACCGATGTTGCAGCAACCCAAACAGGTTTTAAAAGCGCATACATTTGCTATTTACCATCATTCGCCATTATTGTTGATTTTGTTTTGTAATTTTTACCAACATCATTTACCATTATGATTGGATTCTTGCTTTTTACCATCATTTTGCCATAAGTTTCGTTTTTTCCATATGTTTTTTGGCGGGGTTGGCTATATGTAAGGGACAAAAACCTTACCGTAACACGGCGATATCATGGCGTTCGGAGCGACGCGCGACATCATGAAAACGTCAATGAATGGATTGGTTCAAGGGAAAAACAGCAGGAAAAGTCCCATATTGATCCATATTTAATGGGAAAATCTAGGGTTTCCCGGGTCGATTTTCCCTTAAGCCAATCCATTGAGTGACTTCAAGGGGATTGGATCGATTTTGTCGGATTTCGATTCGCGGCAAGGCCCTTGGGGATGCTGAAAATGGAGGTGCCCTGGGCCCCTCTCGTTGGAAGATGAGCATTTTTCGCGGTAATCGTCAGGATCTGGAGGCTTACCCTCTGGTAAACTGTCCCGTAAGTATCTGGATAAATTTGATCACGACCGAACCCTGTTCTCCCGCAGCCTGGAAATCATGGTTAATAAGGGGAATCATCCCAAAATGGCCTTAATTCAGGTTTGTGGAATATTATAATTTGCCCAGAGAAGTATGGAAAATCCACCATTTTTACTGGGTAAACCAACTATAAATGGGCAATTTTCTATAGCTATGTTAGTTTACCAGAGGGTTAAGGGGGTTCTACTTTTTGTACTCTTTAGGGCTTAACCGAAAAAAAGGGAAAGAAGTAAATCATCATTTTTTTTCATCTACAAATCTGTTCAAATTATAGGACCTCACTGTGACCTCACTGGAATGATGATTAGTAAGGGGAATCATCATATTTATCTCTGGTTGGTGGTTTGGAACATTTGGATTATTTTTCCATATATTGGGAATTTCATCCCAACTGACTAATATTTTTAAGAAGTGTTGAAACCACCAACCAGATCATGTTTATCATCTGTTTTCATGGGCCATGGCTTCCAGTTCGCAAACTCTTTGGACCACCAGAGGGTAATTTTAAGGCCCAAGGAACAGCTGATACTTGTCATCACACAACACAGGAACACACGCAGGAGCCATAGATCATAGGCCCAGGCCACTAATAACTGCTGGGTAGTTTCAAAATGTTTCAAACATGTTTAATCTGTTCACTTTATATAGAAAAAACTATAATTTATTCATTTTAGATCAATGATGGATGATCCACCATGGCTCATATCATGTTTGTTTGGGATAGTTGGAGAAACCATGGTCATGAATCAGATTCTGCATAGCACATGCAGGTTGATCCTCTATGATGGATGGCGAAGACCAGCCCTAGATCAGATGGGGGTTTTTAGTATGGTTTTTAGCATTCCCCAGGAGTCAGAAACAAAAAGTTGAACTTCCCCGAAGATGATCTTCAGAAATAATTTTAAGAGAAATCATCTTTTCAAAGCCATCTCTAACAACAACAATATCTATCATAGAATTTAATGCTGTTTCTGAAACCGTCCAGGCAGATGTCTTGGTGGTGGTTTGTGGCCTGCTGACCATCGAGTCGCACGACCGTCCCAACTTGTCGCTGCATCCCGCAGATGTGCCGCAGCTGCGTATGGGGTGAGTTTTTGTTTTTTGGGGCCAGATGGTTTGGGAAAGCCGAATCTCAAACTGAAAACACGTGCATAAATTGAGTATATATATATGATATATAAATATATATATGTATTATATATATATATGTGTATTATATATATACAAATGTATATAATATATATATGCATATAATGTATACCACTAGTCTTTAGCGTCTTTCACTTCTTTGCAATGAAACACACAATTTTCGTGGCTTTTCTTGATGACTTGACCACAAATTGCGACGTCGCAGTTGGTGAAGCTTTGTCGCCCCAAGAAAATGTAGCAGTTCTCAGGGACTTCCTATCCTGGTTAATGATGGTTAATGATGGTTAATGATGGTTAATGATGGTTAATGATGGTTAATGATGGTTAATGATGGTTAATGATGGTTAATATATAATGGTTAATAATCACTGGTTGGTGGTTTCAAACATGAATGGATTATTCTTCCATCATATATGGGATGTCATCCTTCCCATTGACGAACTCATATTTTTCAGAGGGGTAGGTATACCACCAACCAGTATCTGTTTTCTAAGAACTTCCAAAATAAAAATCATGTAGCAGTTCCAAGAATTGTTTTCTAAGAAATTCCGAAGTGATTACCCTCTGGTAAACAAACATAGCTATTGAAAATGGCCATTTAGTTCGTGGATTTACCCATTGAAAATGGTGATTTTCCATAGTTATGGGACAGTTTACCAGAGGGTAATGTAGAAGTTCCAAGAATCTCAAGAATTGTGGCATTGAGTCATTGTGGCATTTGCGAGTCACTTGCTAACCGCTGCTTACCACTTGGATACGACTGGTGGCGAACTACCCACGGCTCGTGGTTGTGGGTTATAACCCTAGTGATTTACATGGGATAAGTAGGGTTAATCCACAGAAAAAAACTGGGGTTATAACCCACTTACGAGCCGTGGGATGAGCCACCAAGTACCCAAGTGGTAAGCATCACAATTGGGTAGCAAAAAACCAGTGGTGCCAGGTGGATACCAACACATCTACCAGTTGTCTATGATGGGCCGGCCATGGGCCAGGTTTGTTTACTGAGTTTGCATACCGGGTAGCCGTTTATATCTGGGTATTCACAAGGTTTGTTTCATATGTTCGTTGTCAAGGCTGTTGATGTGGGATTACGATTGTGATGATTATGATGATTATGATGATTATGATCCCAATTGACTAATATTACTATGAGTCAAAACCTTGCGACACCCTGAAAGAGCTGGTGAATGGATGTTTATTCATGTTTATTCCCGAGGGACAAAGGGTTTTGACCCATCCCACACCCAACGTCAGAATCGGTCAATTTCAAGGAAATATTGGCAAGACAATCATATAACATGATTAACAATAAGAAAACAACTATAGTCTATAGTAAGTATGTTTGATATTGTTTGATTGGACAAACTTTGATAAATCCCATGATTTTCCATACATGGTCCACAGTTGTCCATAAACAATCACAAAAACCCATAATTTTCCATATTTTCACATAGAAAACCACTGAATCTATGAATCGCCCAACTCAGGCACATCTCATCCACGAAGCCAGTCTCGCCAAGCCGACTATCGTGCGGCCACCAAGCGTCGTCATGTGAAGTCAGATGATCAGTCTGTCATAGTCATAGTCAGTAATGTGGGAAAAAATAATAAACCAGCCATTTGGGAATGGTTTATACCACCTATTTATGGTGATTCGGGGGATGATTTACTCTATTTTTTTTTTTTAATAACCACATTATATACGTCAATGGTGGTGAGTAGTGGTGATTAATGGTGAATAATAGTGGTTAATAATGGCTAATATAATCTAATATAGGTTTAAGTATAACAACTCAAGTCAAGTCAACTCAACCCAACTCAAGTATACTAGGTTGAGTTGAGTTACATGGTATAACATAAATACAATATAATGTAATACAATATGCTCTAATACAACATAGTAATGTAGTATGATAGTCATGTACTATAATAAGCTCCTTAATAGTCAACATCTAAGTCAGATGTGATTAGTGTATCTAGTGGGAGGGAATGGAGATGATCTACATTTGGCATTGAACATAGGATATCGGTCGAACTTTTTTCCGAAAGACCTGGGTTTTCGGAAGGTTTTTGTTTGGTGATTTCCCACGAAATCCAGCATTTGGGGAATCTATAGAGATTATTAATTGGTTGCTGCCTGAGTTGGGCGTGGCAGCTTTGGGAAGAACCGAAGAAGCCGAGATTCTCTGGTGACATCACAATCGGCCCTCAGCTTTCACGCATCGTGGCATCTGACGAGTCGCTTACGCGTCGCTTACAGACTTCCCGCAAAATGGTGAGATCTGGAGGGGATGGAGGGCCCTGTTCTTCAGGTTTCTTCACTCACGAGGGATGGTGTCAAACACCATGAGGGGCCTATGTTTCAGGGGTTTCAGCCGCTGTAGAGAATCTCTGCCGCCCGGAATCAGGCGAGGAAGCTTTCGTCTGAGAAAGGCCAATGGTTTGAAACAATATTGGGCTTTCGAAAAAATCCAAGATGCCAATGGGGATGAAACTCCATAAATTTGGGTAAATTTGATCACGACCTCACTGTTCTCCCTAACCCTGGAATCATGGTTTATTTGAGGGAAATCATCCCCAAATGGCCCGACAATTCAGGTTCGTGAAATATCATAATTTACCCAGATAAATAATCATACATAATAATCATCATCTATCCCAGGAATTACCCTCTGGTTATGTCAAACATAGCTATTGAAAATGGCCATAGAAATAGTGAGTTTTCCCATGAAAAATGGTGGATCTTTCCATAGTTATGGGACAGTTTACCAGAGGGTATTCCATATCTAACATTATCTAACCAGGTTAAATATTATAATTTACTCAGATAAAAAATCATATAATAATCATCATCTATCCCAGGAATTATTCCATAATATTCCATATATCTATGATCAGTATCAGCAGCCCCCGTTGGACTAGACATTTTTTTTCCTGTAGGTCCAGTCCGAAAATTAAAAATGCCAAGTCAGGAAAAAAATCATTCCAGCATGGATGTTGCAAGGTTGGGGTTCAGGAAAACAAATGTTGGAGCCAGGAAAGCAGGATTAGTAACATAAGGTTGTACCACAGGATTTTATATGTTTTGGGGATTTGCTTGCCAGGATTGCATGGTTTTCCAAACAAGGTTGGGCTACAGGAAAAAATCTCTGGGCCAATCTGCCGAACAGGAGAAGGTAGGATCTACATAAAAGGTTGTGATCTTACTTTTTAATGCATTTCAGTGGTTTGTAAAAAGGTTGAATCCGATAGCTTCACTGGATTTTAATTATGAACAGTTATGAACTCCTTATGGTTTTCTTCAACAATATCCTCCTCTGTACTACCAGTTTTTTTTTCCTGGGGGTTCAGTACGCTTTTAAAAAAACACTATTTTCCAAAAATCTAGCAGACAGTGGGTGAGGGTCCCGGGGCATGATATGGGGCCAGGAATAAAATATCATACCAAAAAAGGCCCAGATTTTTTTTCCTGAAAGCTTCCTGACGTACAGTGACAGGAAATCAATTTCTGTCTGTTGTGATTGAGGGGGGGTTGATCTATCAGTCTGTGTATGTAAGGCATCAGGAAATCAATCATGAATGACTCTGATAATGGGTAAGTTTGTAGAATTCCCAAGGTTAGTAGCCAGGAATTTGAAGGTGGATGGATCAAATGGGAGTTTACTAGAACATATCTAAATGTCAAACCCCAGGAAAAAAATGTACCATGATTAATTGAGGGGGTATGATTCTTTACATGACTTTGCAAAAGGGTACAAACACATACGTTCACCTTCACCAACCAAAAAAGTGACTTCAAGAGGCCAAGACGCAGGGGTCAAAAATAGAATCCAAGGGGCTGGACCTTTTTTGACTGAATACTTGCGGGATAGTCTTCAAAGGTTGGCCCCACAGGAAAAAAGTCGCATCTCCAGGCCAATCATCCACAGATAGGACATGATGGGACGAATTCAAGAATTTTGTGTCAACGCGCCCGAATTGCAAAACACGCGTTTTTTTTTGCTGAAAATACATTTGTCCTTGCAAAAGGGGTACAACCACAGATGTTCAGCTTTACCAACCAAAAAAGGTGACTTCAAGAGGCCGAGGCGCACGTGTCAAAAATAGAATCCAAGGGGCTGGACCTTTTTTGACTGAATACTTGCGGGATAATCTTCAATGGTTGGCCCACAGGAAAAAAATCGCATCTCCAGGCCAATCATCCACAGATAGGACATGATGGGACGAATTCAAGAATTTTGTGTCAACGCGCCCAAATTGTGAAACGGATTCGTAAGAAGAGCCAAGTCTTGTGTCTGTGCCGTGGTGCATGCGCCCGATCACTGCAGACTGCTACTGTTGAACGTGCTTTTCTTAATCTGTTGGATCGACGGGCAGAAATTCCGAATTCCATGTGGGCTTTGCTTGGGGATAGGTATCCTGTTCTCAAAAGCTGGATTTCTGCTCGTTCTGACCGTGTTATGCCTGCTGATGTGAGTCATGTTGTGTTCCCTAGACAGCGTAGACTTCCTCACAGATTGAAAAACATCATTGTCTCATCAATACATGATTCACATTGGGGAAAGGCATCTGGTTACTTGTCTGAGTACACTCCATGGGCATTTTTCATGATCGACGTCATCAGTGAGCATGGATTTGTCCCTGGTGTGTTTGATGTAGGTCAGAGCTTTGGGCTGTTAATTGAAAGGTTCAAGTGCTATTGGAAACATTTCTTGCGACCAGCGTTCCCAACACTTGAAGATGACTACAACGCGGCCAAGCACTGCACGTGCTTTGGCCTATCTACATTGTCAGCCTTTCCTTTGCACTTGAAACTTCGACACCCCAAAGCACTTTGGTCAATTTTGATTCAGGCTTCTCTTTATTGTAATAAGGAATCCACTGGCTTCCGGAATTGTAGATCCCATTGGGTCCCTGATTGGAATCTGGTTTGATATCCTGCGATATGTTCTGCCATCAAATGCATGTCTATTAGAGTTCGTTATTGCCATCGGCTTCGAGATGCTTGCCTGCAAGGTATACAAGAGAGGGAAAAAAAAGCAAAACAGACGTTTTTTTGCTGAAAATACATTTGTCCTTGCAAAAGGGGTACAACCACATATGTTCAGCTTCACCAACCAAAAAAGGTGACTTCAAGAGGCCAAGACGCAGGGGTCAAAAATAGAATCCAAGGGGCTGGACCTTTTTTGACTGAATACTTGCGGATGATCTTCAAAGGTTGGCCCCACAGGAAAAAAGTCGCATCACCAGGCCAATCATCCACAGATAGGACATGATGGGACGAATTCAAGAATTTTGTGTCAACGCGCGCCCAAATTACAAAACATATGTTTTTTGCTGAAAATGCATTTGTCCTTGCAAAAGGGTACAACCACATATGTTCAGCTTCACCAACCAAAAAAAGGTGACTTGAAGAGGCCGAGGCGCAGGTGTCAAAAATAAAATCCAAGGGGCTGGACCTTTTTTTGGCCGAGTTCTTGTGGATGATCTTCAAAGGCTGACCCCACAGGAAAAAAATCGCATCACCAGGTCAACCATCCATAGATAGGAAATGATGGGACGAATTGAAGAATTTTGTTCCAACGTGTGGCCAAATTGCAAAACAGGCGTTTTTTCCTGAAGATACATTTGTCCATGCAAAAGGGTTGCGCATTGCCGTGGGCATCTGCCGGACCGCACTCGTGAAGCCGTGGACTGAAAAACTGCGAGCTGTCAGCCGGGAAGTCAGGTGCCAGGAATTCATTTTTTTTCGGTATCAGATTGAGGGGGGGAAGATATGGCATGTTACCAACGCAAGCATCCAGGAAATATTTTTTTTACTTGGATATCAGAGGGGTAAATTTATTGGATGTTGGACATTGGGCACCAGGAAATTAGCAAAGAAAATTCAAAAAGGTGGTTGGAAGTGAGATTTCGGCTTCAGAGGTTAGGAGCCAGGAATTTAAAGCTCTAAAACCTCTCTCAATGGTTAGGGGTCATCATTTTAGACCGATTTTTTTCTAGGTTCTGGACCTCCAAAGCCTAGTGCCATCCATCTCCCCGTCTTGAAAGATCTTGACAGCATGCGAGCAAAAAAATGATGGAGCCGGTGGAAACCCTGTGACCCAGGATTTGAATGATATGACAAGAAAAGTGTTTATGTCAAACCCTCAGCAGTTTTTGAAAGGTCGTGATCTTCCAATTCAATCGACTTGACGATCTGAATGGGGTAGGTAGACATGTATCATCATAAAGGTTATGACCCAGGAAAAGAGTTGTGTCAGCGCAATGGTGGACCAGGAGAAATGTTAGTCCACATATATAAAGGTTGTGGAACAGGATTTTAATTTGTTTGCCCGGGAAATTGCAACTTGGCTGTTGGCTCTTGGGAGCTAAATCCGTTGGGTTGTACCCTTTGGAAATCAATTCCAAAAGGTTGTGGACCAAACGATTTAAGGCATTTTTTTCCAGGACTGGACCCTTTTGACCTGTACGACCGGGGGTGTATCAGCAATGATCCGAGTTTTTATCCACTACTCCTGGGAATATCTCAGCAATTTTGATGTGAACCTCCGGTACCCTTTGATGGTTTTGACAGCCATGCCGGTCGCAATCGTGGGATTGGAGGTGGTGTTGGATGCTGTTGGGCCAATGTCATAGCCTCTGGTTATGGAAAACATCGCTATGGAAAATGGAGGTTCACTTGGTCCATATAAAAGTATCCATTTATGCAAGATATAGTAAATAGTTACATAGTTACCCTTTGGTAAATTAACATAGACCCTGAAAATCACCAATTGTTAGAGGAAACTAATCTTCCAACCCCTATCTACCAGGGTCTATGTTAATTTACTGGAGGGTACTGTTTATAAACCAACTTAGAACTGGAGTACCCTCTGGTAATCAAACATGGCTGGCTGCAAATCCCGTATCAAAGGAGGCTTATAGCTGGAAAAACCATCGATAAATGGTGGATTCTCCAGCACGCCACGTTTGATTACCGGAGGGTATTCATTTTATCCATTTTTATCCAGGGTTGGTTTCAAGTGATGTGTACCATTCATAGAAGTTTTTAAGAATGGGGAATGTAACCTCAAACATGGTGAACTCACGACTACTTGAAGCAACGGCTGGATGTTGAATTTAATCATGTTGAAGTGCATTCTCATTCTTTTCCGAAAACCATATTTAAGATTTCGCCAACAACAGGGGGCGGGCAGTAGTAAGCCATGCGCGCATGAGGTGTAAGCAAGATATCCTCTTGGGCGAAGGCAACATGATTAGCGATGTAAGAAATGAATAGAAAACATGGTTCTCACATAGGACATAGGAGCAATCAACCTAAACTGGTTGGTGGTTTCAAACATTTTTTATTTCCCATAATATATGGGATAATCCTTCCCATTGACTATTTTTTAAAGATTGTAAAAACCACCAACCAGTAAATTTGGTTTATGGGTTGGCATGTTCCATGTTTAACTTTTGACCATAGAAATATGGTAACGATGGTCACAATTAGACAAAATTATAGACATTGTTTGTACAGGATGGTGCCCCCCCAGTTACAAGTTGGTTTATAAACCCCATTAATTAACTATAGTTACATTTACCACAAACCATAGTTAAGTCATTTATAAGGAAACTTAGCTATCTTGGGGGCCCCATCCTGCATGTTTTTTTAGACATTGATTTAGGATTTCCCCAATACTTTGCCCAGATCCAAATGACGGCAAAGCGACAGCAGCTGCTATGCAAGAAACTTTCAGGTTACCATACAAAGTGGGTGCAATTGGGATTATGGGACATTATCCCCATAATATCACCATTCATTGCTGGTTGCATACAATATATATAATTATGTGTATATTATATATATACACATATTACTATTACATAGACAAATGCATACCATTATATGATTTAATCCCCGTTATATGTCTAAGACGGCGTTGCTGATCAAAAAGTCACGAGGGGAATTCACCTCATATGTCATGCCTGACATTCCATCTGCGATCAAAAGCAGCTTGGAAAGACAACATCGCGCTCTTCGTCAATATGACGTCAGGATGGAGTTGAAAGTATCCCAGAAGAACTTGATGGAGCTGCTTGGCTTGTCGAATGCTCAAGTTGATGAAATCGTGAAAACGCTCGCATCAGCAACTGACGGGAGTGCAGAAAAGATCACCTCTGATCGTTTGACGACGTATCTCCCAGGAGGTACTGCAAATTTAGGAGAAGGTGATGAAGATGTCGATTTGGGATTGGATGAACCTACAGAGGCTGCACATGAGGGAGAAGAAGAAGAAGGGCTCGAAGAGGACTATGAAGAAGGAGAAGAGAAGGTAGAGGTTCAGAGTCTAGTTGGGCCTACAGTTAGCCCCTTGTCAGCCCACATGGAGACACTGTCAGCGGCTCGCTGTTTCAGCATCACTTCAAGGCGGCAAATTCAGAGCCAAACATTGTCCCTCTTACCCTCTGGTAAACTGTCCCGTAACTATGGAAAGATCCACCATTTTTTAGCTGGGTAAATCCACTATTTCGACTGGGCCATTTTCAATAGCAAACTGTTGACATAACCAGGCCGGGTAGATCTTTTTAGATCCATGTGATGGACAAAGTCCATGGCCCATTTACCCTCTGGTAATTTGTTCCATAGCTATTGAACATGACCCATTTATAGTGGATTTTCCCACTAAAAATGGTGATTTTCCATAGTTATGTTAGTTTAGCAGATGATATCCATTTCCACTCCAGGTCTTATTGATGCTTCCGGGTGCAGTGCTGATGCCCTTCAGATTCCAGGTCGCACAACGGCCGGGCTGGGAGCGGCTGGGGCTGTGCCTGGGGTGCCTCTTGACGGGACCGGACCTGGCAGTAACCAGCGGCCACTATGAGAATATCATTTGGTATAGTATCAAATAGGTTACTATATAGGTTACTATATTCAACTATCAAATCATATTCAACAGTAAATATCAGTATCAAATGATATTCTCATCAATGGAAACTATTCCAATATGTTCAACAATGTACTATTCCAATATCAAATGATATAATGATATTCCAATATGTAATTCCAATATGTTCAAACTATTCCAATGGTATTCCAATATCATTTGATATTTACTAGGCCAGAAGCCCAAGATTCGAAACCGATTGGGAACATCGTTTCACCGAGCTCGCCGACTCTCGAATGTCACCAGCTTCGAGACATCGTGATTTCCTATGTGGTAAGGAGCTTTTTTGGATGCTTTTTCGGTATATAAGTCATATACATTCCCACATCCCAAATACCCTCTGGTAAACTAACATAGCTATTGAAAATTGCCATTTATAGTGAGTTTTCCCACTAAAAATGGTGATTTTCCATAGTTATGTTAGTTTACCAGAGGGTATGTGCCCTGTATCTTATGGATTTTTATGGGGGATAAAAAACGATGGATAAATCGGTGGTTTCAATATGTTTCATCTTCTGCGGATTCAACCAGCACGTTGGATCGTGATTTCTACTCCTTGGCAAATGGCCAGGGCTTAGGGTGTATCCCATGTGACCAGACACAGCCATTTTTATCAGATTGTTGCGAAAAAATATCCCATTCATATCCCATTCATAACCCATTCATATCCCATTCATATCCCATTACAGTAATATCCCATGAATATCCCATCAGAGATAGATCAACCCCGCTAAACCACCACGTTTCACCCCCAAAAAATCGCGGTCGCGGTCGCAGCGAGCCGAAGGTTTCTGGCATCTTGCTGCAGTTCTATGGTGGAGAGGTGACTTTTGTCTGATTTTTGGCAGCTCTTTGTTGAGACCCTCTGGTAAATAATTGTTATATAATGGTTATAATAATGGTTATATAATGGTTCTAATAATGGTTATGTGATGGTTATAATAGTGGTTATATAACGGTTATAATAATGGTTATATAATGGTTCTAATAATGGTTATGTGATGGTTATAATAGTGGTTATATAATGGTTATAATAATGGTTATATAATGGTTCTAATAATGGTTATGTGATGGTTATAATAGTGGTTATATAATGGTTATAATAATGGTTATATAATGGTTCTAATAATGGTTTTGTGATGGTTATAATAGTGGTTATATAATGGTTATAATAATGGTGATATAATGGTTCTAATAATGGTTCTAATAATGGTTATATAATGGTTCTAATAATCGTTATATAATGGTTCTAATAATGGTTATAATTTATAATAATGGTTATATAATATAATGGTTTTAATAACGGTTATGTAATGGTTTTAATGATTATGATATCCCCATAATTATGGAATACCCTCTGGTAACCCAACATAGCTATGGAAAATCATCACTTTCATAGGCCAATCAACTAACTAAATGACCATGTTCAATAGCTATGTTTGACATAACCAGATGGTCCCCCAATTCAACACTCTGATTTCCCGAACTGGTACTTTTAAAGAGTTTTTTTGAACTGGAAAACAACCATTTTTTAATAGGTAATCAACGGCCATTCCAGGAACCTAAATTCCTTGGATTAATATATATGGAATAATTCCTGGGATAGATGATGATTATTATATCAACGGCCATGCAACAGGAACCGATTGATTGGAGGTACCTACCATACATAAGGTCTATTTTTCAGGGCTATGTAAGGGGATATACCCAAAATATGGTCTTATATGATACAGCACCTCCATTTTAGGATCCTGGAATTCCCATTGAGGTAAGTCACTGAAATTGTCATGGGCCATGTCTTCCAGTTGGCAAACTGTTAAATTACCACAGGGTGACCTGTGGATTCTGAGACAGTGGGTAAAACAAAAATAAACCACCCATTTGGGAATGGTTTGTACCACATAAAAATGGTGATGACTAGGGGATGATTTATTGTATTATTGTTTTAAAACCACAAGTTGTATGGAAAACGTCAATGGTGGTGAGTAGTGGTGATTAATGGTGAATAAAATAATGGTTAATAATGGCTAATATAATCTAATATAGGTTTAAGTAGTGGCAAATCTAATAGTAGTGGTGATTTTCATGGTGATTAATGGATAATAATGATATATATATAATGATTAATGATATATGATTATTGTTTATTGTGGATCTATGATATATTTAATGGTTTATAAGTATTATGATTGTGGATAATAATGATTGATGGTGATTTATGGTTTATGTTTGTTTTACCCACTGATATTCTTGCAGAAAGTGACTGAGGTTGACCCAAAATTTCAGCCAATTCCGGGCAGGGATCTTTCCACTCACTGGTCGCTCTGGTGATCGGCACGTCCCTTGTATACGTGGGTTATCATTTTTTTTTATATGGCATAACTATGGTAATCCCTTATGTTTCTTCTGTTTTATCAGAAACAACAAGCAACTCCCTTGCAATATGATTTGCGGATATTTATTATTATTATTATTATCATTGTTATTTTACTTTACCATGGCACAAAAAAAATATTGGCTATCTGATACTATCTGCAGAACTAGAACCACAATTGTTGGATATTGTTGGTATAACATAGAACAAGTTCATACTCCTTTCAGATCATATTTTGCGTATCATAGAACATTATAGGTATATTGTAGTATATACGGTGAGGCGTTCGCTTGTGAGGCTGTTTATTTTGTCGCTTGTGACGCGGTTTTTCTCGTCGCTTGTGTTGTACACCCCCCTACCCCAAAACCCTAAAATGTAAAACCATTGGCCTTGTCAGGTTTGGCACATGATTAGAAACTTAAACCCACCCAAACCACCCAAAAACCCTAAAAGGTAACATCATTGGCCTTGTCAGGCTTGGCACATGATGAGAAACCCACTTAAACCCGAACCCCCCCCAAACCACCCCAAAAGCCTCAAAAGATAACACCATTGGCATTGTCAGGTTTGGCACATGATGAAAAACATAAAAAAATCTATTATAGCCTGGCACATGATTAGAAACGCACTTGGACCCTAAACCACTACCACTCCCTCCACCCCTTGACCCTAAAAGGTAAGACGGTTGGCACTGTAAGGTGGCTCTTTCCCTCGTCGATGTACTGCCAGGCACATAATTAACACGTAATTGAGAGAGCTTCAGAGGACACTTCGTCGCAAGTGATTGGCAAAAGTTCCTCGCAAGTGAATGGCTGACCAGTATATCATTTTTGAAAGTGCATAGGCAAAAAATACAGTCAGTATATCTAATTTTGCATCAGATGCACTATTTCATCCTTCAATTCTTTGATTGTGCACAATTCATCGTGAATTTGAGATCCCCATGAATAATTTAGTGATGTGATGCCCAATTAATTCCAGTGATATCAGTTATAAATCAACGTAAACCTATCATCAGTCGATTATAAATTACAATGTTGTTGCTTACAACTTATAACATATGTCCTTCATTTTTGCATGATAATTTTTTTTGCTGCTTGCCAATCTGAAATTGATGATAATTCCACCATTTATCCAACATTTTTTGTGTTGTAAAATCCATCTCAAATCCTTTTCAAATCCCTGCTGCTTAGTGGTTAGGAACATTTTGTATTTGTCCATTCAGTTGGGAATAGTAACCCCAACCTGGTTGGTGGTTTGGAACATTTTTTATGTTCCATTTCATATATGAGATAATCCTTCCCATTGACGAACTCACATTTTTCAAGATGGTTTTTAAACCACCAACCAGATTATAGATCCATGTTTCATGGTTAAATTATGGTTAAACCTCCATTTTTCATAGGAAAACAACAAAATTCGGTTATTGCACCACCAACCTGACTTTCATACTTTCCAGAGGGGTAGGGCTCAACCACCAACCAACCTGGATCTCCGGCGCGAGGCGTCTGGCCACGCCTTTGCTGCGGCACTCTTTGGGGATGTGAATCCCGCCGGAATCACCAGATTTTCCTGATGAAGAACTTGGAGAAATTTGGATGACCAATTTATGGAGATTTTACCCTCTGGTTTTTTTAGCATCTATCTCCAGGAATCCCCAGATGGGGAACAAAAAATGTTGGCAATTTCCCATGTGAAGACCATCTTTAGGATATTACCCTCTGGTTATGACAGCAGTTCGCCATGGTTTTTCGATGGCCCTAATCGAAATAGATGGTTTACCTATTAATAGCATGGTGTATCTTTCCATGGCGAACTGTGAATGTCATAACCAGATGGTCGATGATTTCTGTGGAATTTATGGGAACTTTGGATGATGTAGAGTGATTTCACATGTTTTTTGTAGGCTGTTTTGTTGATGTGTGGAGATTTATTTTGGTTTGCAGATGCACAACAACCATCAAAGATTGAAGATTTTAATGGTGATTGATTGATTCATGATTTTATGGGGAATTCACAGACGCAAAAGGATAAAAGATTGTGGAGCTGCCTGCCATCGAAAGCTCATCCCAGGCTGTTAGAAAAAATGTTCAAGGACTTTGACGTGGGTTGACTACAGGATGGGGCCCCCAAGATAGCTAAGTTGCCTTATAAGTGGTTTAACTATGGTTTATTGTAGATATAACTATAGTTAATGGTGGTTATTTCATGGTTTATAAACCAACTTATAACTGGGGGGCCCCATCCTGTGGGTCACTGGGTCTTTATTGAAGACCCTGGTACCTACAGATGCTTCCATATGATTTCCAATGCGGGATGACGATTCCCATATGTTCAAGGTGGGTTGAAACTAGCAACCAGATATTTGAGTATCACATGTCTGGCCTATCCAAATTTGAACCACAAGCATGCACATAATTGCACATATACATGTAGAAACTGCATTACTATCAATTCCCGTAATTGGGGCACATCCCTGGTCATCCAAAATCCAAACTGGTTACCATACCCCAACTATCCATCCGTGGGCTGTCCCATTATATCCCATCAATTATCGCCATTATTCATTGATTCAAGACCGTCAATTTTGCTGTTTTTTTATTTTTATTTTTATCACGTGTTTAACACGTTTTGTCCACCATTTAAACCATTCTAGCACCCCACAGAAAAGATATATATATATATAAAAGTAATTTGCTACTATTGTTAGTATAGTAGGATTTGACCAACTTATCTATCTTTTTTGGGCAATCAACTCTAGGGTTTTCCAGTTCCCATTCATGTCGCCTTGGCGCCAAGTCCGGGAAATTGCCACTTCTGATCCCAGAAAATGTGGTGGGTGACCTCAGCGTGGGTTTCCGGGAGGTGCCTTGATGAGATGGGATGGTGATAAAGTAAGCAGCTTAAGCAGCCAAATATATACATAGCAAAAACAAAAACAACTATATCATAAGATGTATCATCATAATATATATATATATACATATTATCACTACTATGTCTATACATATAAAAATGGGGTGTTTGGCCAGTGGAATCCATTGGAAAGTCCCAAAAATGTCTCGCTGACAGGGAAAATGAATGTTAAAATCATCATGAATTGTCCAGCAAGCGAAGTTTGATTACCGGTAACATCTCAAACATTGGAATTTCACCAACCAAAAAATGGTGTTTCTTTATTCTGGGCCATATAGTTGGGCCATGATGGAACTTTACATTTGATCACGACCTCCGGTCGCGATGGGATTTGGTTGGTAAGTATGCCATGGCCCAACGTTGCAGACTAATTAGGATGATCATTTGTGCAGAAAATTCCAGAACTAATGTCAACCCTGGATTAATAAACCATGGTTTATTAATTCGAAAGGGTACTCCCCAAATAGTCATTTCATCTGATACTTTTTTATGGTACCCTCCCAATGTTCAAGAGCCGTAAACGGGATTTATTAATCCAGGGTTAACATTAGTGGATCATCAGCAGCAGTAATGGGTACTGTTCTGTTTGACTTGGGGAAATCTGGGTAAATTCTGTAACCTCTTTGGATGACCTAACACGTTTTTTTGTCCCAGAAAACGTCAGGGCTGTGAAGTGGATTTGAATTTGCCACATGCCAAAGAACTCTTAAACCACCAACCAGTCACCTGGTTGGTGGTTTCAACCATTTGGTTTTTATTTTCCATTTCATAAAAAAGGGATGTCATCCTGTAATCCTTCCCATTGATGAACTCCATCATTTTTGAAGATGGTTTTTTAAAGCACCAGCCAGTCACTGTCACGGTCAACTTTTTCACCAGCTTGGAACCTTGTGCAGAAGATGTTGAACGATATGGCAGGATGAACATCCATTTTCCTCCTATTTTGGTGCGCTGAGGTATCAGGATTTAGTCAATATACATTATTTAGCTATATTACCCATTATTTCCCATGATTAATGCCATATGGATCCATATGGTACCTATGGTACCTATGAATGATCTGGTTGAATCACTTAGTCACCCATTGCCCAATATTTGTGCCTGTCTAGGGCGGCTAGGTGAGCCGCTTAGATCCCCAATGTTGTGGCGAAACTACCCTCTGGATACAAAAAACTATTGAAAATGGCCATAGAAATAGTGGGTTTTCCCATGAAAAAATGGTGATTTTCCATAGCTATGGGACAGTTTACCAGAAACTACACCTTCGCCCCATGAAAAATAAAATCATGCATTCCTTGGATTATGGTCTCACATTTTGTTGGTTTCATCTCCGTTTGTTGTGACTTCAGAACTTCAACCCCATTTTGATGGTTACCCTTTGGTAATCAAACATGGCTTGCTGGAAATTCACCATTTAGTTCGATCATGTTGCGAACTAAACCGAGAATTTATAGTGGACTTTTCTCATGATTTTCCCATATGTTCCTATATGTTTACCATCTTTTCTCAAATTTTCCCCATACCCATATTTTTTCTCACATTTTTCCCATATTTGATGGTTAAAAATGGGTTGATCAAAGGCCCCATCGCCTGGCACAGCAAGATTGACTTCTCCCCTGGCATCGCCAAGGAGGACACCATTCCTCCAAGCACGGTGCGGTCTTCGCAGAGTGGGGTGTTTGTTTTCCCATGGTTTTTACCGGTGGTGGTTACATTGGATGTTTTTTTTCTATAAGGGAAAATCTGGAGCCATGGATTTTGCCATTACATTAATGGGGTTCTCCATGTTTTCCTGTTGTCCCTTGAACTTAAACCATCTTAAACCAATCCATTGATTACTTTGGGGTAAACTGGTAAACTAACCATAGATGTGCAAAAACCGTGGTGAAACCCGTCCGGAACATGATCTACACCTGGTGGGTCAACTCCACTGGTATTAATTCCGTTTGGAAAATGATCTGCATTCATGATGGGTTAACTGGGTAAACTCAACCTTTGCATTATTGTATGTATATATATAATTATTATATTATATTATATTATATTATAATATTATATTATATTATATTATGTTATATTATATCATATCATATCATATCATATTATATATACTTATAATATATATATATATATACACAATAGATATATAATAGATATTGCTTTGCGCAGGTCTCCTCTGTTTCCGTTTCCCTCGCACCTTGCAAAGTTTCCGTTTCCCTCGCACCTTGCAACTTTTCCGTTTCCCTCGCACCTTGCAACTTTTCCTTCTCGGGGTTGTGCTCGGCTTGAGTTAGAAAAAACAGCTACAGAAAATCGGCAAATGTGAAATCTGCAGCAAGTCAAAATGCCTGACAGGTATGGTCAAAATGGAATGCATTCTGCACTCCTCCCTTGGGATATCGTGAGGTCATCCCAAGATTCAGGCTCAAGCTGCTTCTATTGTGCAAATAAAAGGAAAAAGATCTAACCTGCGCTCTCACCACATCCTTGGCATGCTGGAAACATCTTTTCTGGATCGCAGCGTGGGCATCTTGAATCCACATGATAATCTCCACCCCAGTGATCAATCCAAAGTGGAACTCCTGGTGGTGGGGGTCCACGCGTTTGAGCGGTAATGGCCCAGCAAATGCGACACCAGGCAGATTCTCGATTGGCTCCTGTCTGGACAGACGACAGGTACCTGCACTGGCTCTGATAGTGATAAACTCGGCCATACCGAGTGGTCAAAACTTGGAAAGCTGCTCTAGCTCTTTCCTCGCTGTTCTCATAGTTCTGGAATCTTTCTGGATTTCTCTGTGCTTCCTCGTAGAGGTTGGTTTCTTCATCTGCTATCTCCTGCATGACTCGATCCAAGTCGAACCCAGGGATGTGGCGCTCATCTAATGGACGATACGGAGTGTCCTCTGATGAAGAGGTTGAATCTTCAAGTGGCGAAGAAGACCCTTCGCCTGGTGGGAGGTACGTGGGTCGCTGCGGCGTGTGATCTGCCACAGCGGCCATCCCTTCACCACCCGGTGGGAGGTACGTGGGTCGCTGTGACAGTTGTCCTGCCACAGCGGCCATCCCTTCACCACCATTTTCCTTTTCTTCTTCTTCTCTTTGAGCAGCAGCACCTGCAGGGAGACTTCGGGAAGACGATCCAGCTTGGTTTGACCAAGACATTTCCAGCCTCCTTACTCCTACCTTCCACAAATGCTGGCTCACGATCGTGAGAAGCACGATGATCAACGCAAAAACGACCATCATGACTTTGAGCTCGAGGGTTGAATTTTCCTGATCTTCTTTTTCTGTTTCTTCATGTTCTCCTTTGGCAGCTGAGATCGCAGCAGCCAATGTGAGCAGCTTCAATGCTGCTGCTGCTTTCTGAATGCCTACGCCTTCTCCTTTTTCTTCAAAAACCTTCTCTTCTTTCTTCTCATGCTCTTTCGGTTGTGGTACTTGAACCAGGTTCATCTCCTTCTTCAAGTACCTGATTCTTTCTGAAGCTAATGGCTTGGTGCCAATGTCAGCGATCATTTGATTTCCCGCGACATGTTGAAGAAACCAGGTGCCCTGCAAGATTGAACTCCTGGCAGCTGATGCTCTCAGTCGCAAATGACGTGTGCGCCATGATCCTCCGTCAATGGTCAAAATTGATTGGGCAGACTGAGAATCTGTCCAAGATTTCGCTGCAGAGGGCCAAACAGCTCATCAGCTATGGCACCAATTGATTCTCCAGCCACCATGCTCTCCACAATCTCCATCATCTCCGCTTCTGCTGTGCTGAGCGTCACAAAACTTTGACGACCACTTCGCCAAAAAACAGGGCAAGAAGCTACCATGATGATGAAGGCTCCGTGGCTGACATCTCCTTCAGGTGCAAAACTGGCGTCTGACATGGCCTCAATCATCAAGGTCTCTGCTCCAGCAGCATCAAAGCAGATGCCTTCATCCATAGTGCTTTTGAGATACCCCTTGATCTGCTGGTAGATCTGGAGGACCTTCTGAGGGGCCTTCGTGACACAAGAGCCCATCTTTGAAACGGCATACATGAGGTCCAAGCGGGTGCGTGTCACCAGCCAGAGCATCTCACCGGTGGCTTTCTGAGCTGAACGAATCAGCTCTGGTGTTCTTCCTTCTTCCTCTGGAAGTTGACTCTGATCTTTTGCGATTGGGATCTTTCTGTCTGGAGCTTCTTGATCTTGCGCAAGAAGGTCCTTGATGTAGGACTGTTGGTTGACATACCAAACGTCGCGATTCTTGGTGACATCAAAGGTCTTTGAGATCTCGACGCCTAGGAATCGTATAGGCTTTTCTCCTACTTGATCTGGTTCTGAGGTGGTCCAGATAGTTCTGATCTTTTCCATGACGGCATCTACCACCTTTCGACTTCCAGTGACCAAGATGTCATCGACATATGTCATCAAGAGCCCTTTCAATGGCAGCGGAGCAAAGTTCGACTGAGTGTCAGACTCAGCTTCACTCTCCTCAGCTTCAATCCTCCACAAGTTTGGCTCTGATGCCAGAGGGCAGAGTCGGAGTGATGTCATCTGACCTTCTTCCTCCTCCACTTCCAGTTTCATGACTTCCAATTCATCATCTCTGCAATCACCCCAGAGCTTTGGTGATCGGCGAAGTCCATAGACCGCGCGCTTGGGCATGTAGTATGTTCCTGGCTTCATGTACTTCTTTTCCAAAAGCAGCATAGGAGGTTTGACCAGCAACAAGCTTGGCTGGTCTTCAGGGCACATGGTGGCATTCAGGAAGGCTGTTTTGATGTCAATGGTCCCAGCCTCCCATTGGAATTTTGATGCCGCAACGATCAGAAGGCGCAGTGCAGAGGCATCTGCACCAGAGCTAAACGTGTTCTCTCCCTCTTTGACCTGCTCGAAGTTTCCACAGATGACCCATCGAATCTTGTTGCGGCCACCTCTTTTTCCTGGCTTCTTTGTGCAGACCAACTTTGATGGGAGAAACTCCACTGGTATGCCCCTTTTTTCTGCATCCTTCAAGAGCTCCTCCAACCTTTCTCCACTTACCTCCTCGAAGGCTTCCTTCTCTTCTAAAAGTGACGTGACTTCAGCATCCACTGCCGGAAGCCAATCATTCCAGTTCTTTGAGACCTCAGGAAGGGAGATGATTTTCGTTTGGAGGACTTCATCATCTTCGCCCTTCTCTTGAGAGTCAAGCATCTTTTTGAGCTTGGCCAAGATGTCAATCTCTTCTGTGATCATTTCAGGAGAATCATCCAACATCGCCTTAGTCTCCTCCTCGACCATTCTTGTAAACCTGTTCCTCATCTTTGCCAATCTCACAGCCTCATCCTCACCTTCTTCTTTCTCCTCCATTTTCAACCTACGCACTGTAGTCTTTTCTCGAAGCCTTCGTCTTTTTGTGAGAGCATCCAAGACCTCCCTTTCGATGGCTAGCCACACTCCTTCTTCAGGTCGTTCTATGGCTTTCTGCATGTAGCATCGGGTGACTCTCGGTGCTTCATCGTTCACCTTGATCCAATGGCCATTGTCCTCGGGTGCAGGTCCGAGGTATCTTGCAACTTCCACCATAGGCTCAAACGCCTGTTTCTTCCACCTCCTTCTCCTCACCAAGACTTCTTGAAGAAAGCGGGGGAACTCTGGCTTCTTATCCAGCCTTTGGCACCTGTAGATCTCGTTCAGGTATCGAAGTGCCCAAGGCCACCATGAAGAGTCTACTCCTGCATGAAGTAGAATCCTTCTCAGCTGGTTTTTCACTGACTTGACCGTAACCTCAGCACGGCCGTTGGCCTTTGGATCATCGCCCGATGTTCTTGTCAAAAGAATGCCTCGAGACCTCATCCATGTTTCAAATGATCCAAGGAATTCGTGGCCTCTGTCGCTGTGGATACGATTCACATGATATCCATCAATCTTCAGTTTGAGAACCATCTCCATCGCTACTCTTGTGACTTCCCTCGCCTTCTTTGACCTCAGAGGGAGCGCCATCTTGAAGACTCTGATTTCATAGTCTTTATCTTCGCTTTGAGGACCATCTTCTGCTTCTTGTTGACCATCTTGATCTTCATCTCCTCTTTCTTTCTCTTCTTCTCCTCCTGAATCTTCAAGACGGGACTCCTCAGGAAGTTCTGCACCTCTTGGCAAGAGGCCATCAGGAGGCTGTTCATCAGCTTCCTGGTCATCACCTTCAGGCTCCTCGGCAAAAAGATCAAGCACTGCGTGCCTCTTCAAGACCACCTTCTTCTTCGGGTTGACCTATCATCTTTTCTGTGCCCTTTGGAACCATGTATGTGTAAGCACCAGCCAAAAAATATCGACACTTCCAGCCACCAACATCGCTTGATGGTAAAAGAGGCCCACATGTGTCAAGAGCAAGAACTCCTGTTTGTGGATGTTTGTTTTGTCGATGAGGAAGGATCTGTTGGGAGGATTGCAGGCAAACAGGACAGTCACGGCGATATGGAACATGACCGAAAGCAACATGCTCTTCATAGGTGAGAGCCCTGAGTTGCGGTGTCCCCTTGAACACCTGAGTTATGACCGCTTCGCTGACAGCGTTCATCAGTCCAGGTGCCCATCTTTCCAACTGTTTTGAGCTTTCCACAGGTTGCGCAGGTAGAAGAGGACCCATCTTGTGATCCTCCAAGCACAAATCAAACGTAGTGCCCAAAGTGGTGGGTTTTGTTGCCATACCTCCAAGACATCCCTGATTGAAAGTGACCTCCTTCAACTGAAACTCCTTTCTCAAATCATGCCACTCAGTGGTGTCCCAAAACGACACAGCTGCAGGTTGATAAGTCTTTGGAGATGCAGGTTGTTCCAACGCAAAGTGAACAGGATCTGGTCGCAACTGTGCCTTGCGGACATACTCTGAAATCATGTACAAGAAAATCATTCGCCAAAGAAGAGTGTCATCTTCTTGAATCATCTTTTCTTCTTTCTTGTTGATCCAGTGTGCTCCAAATTCCCCTCCCTCCCAGCAACGCACTGGACGGGGGGCCCATGGTTGGCCTTCAATTGGTCGATGTCGGAGCACACTTCGACTTCTGCAGTTCGGGCCACCCAAGACAGCCAGAATCTTTCCTGAAAGCGCAGCTCGCAAGAGAGTGGCATAGATCCCTTCGTCAGCAAGCATATCATACGCTTGCCCCTTCTTTACATCCACTTCCAAAAGCCTCCTTGTCTTACTGCCTTGACACCTCATAGATCGCTGAAGTGTGTGACCTGAGTCCTCTCCAGAGTACAAGTGCAGTGCAAATCCCTCAGTTTTCAACGTTCGTCGCTGACGTCGATTCAAAGGCAAAGATTCCCATTCTCCCGGCTGGACCACAAGCTTCTTTTGGAGCCAGTCAGGAAGACAAGACAAAACTGGGTGAGCTTGTAGAAGCCTTCTCATCCATCCAAGCTCTTCTTCTATGTCTAGGCGATTCAATGAGACGCCTTTGTTGCAGTCTTCGATCTCAGAGATTAGCTCCAATGCCAACTTCCTTGGAATCTGTGGACAACCTCCACAGTCTTCAACTGGTAAAAGACCTCGGATTGGATGTTGGACTTGAAGAGCTCCCTTCGACCACGACACCACACAGCCTAGGGCATCGATCAAAGAACCCATAGGCACAATCGGCTCAATGTTCTGGTCTGAGGTGATCATGGAGCCACCTGGGGACATGTGCAACTGAATGGACTTGCCATCTGCCAAAGTGACAGAAACTTCTTTCAACTTGTGGGTGTCCTCTTCTTCTCTTGATGGACGCAACGCATGAGTGGCCCCACTGTCAATGAGACCTCGACCCAGACCAGCGCCAATGCGCCCAAGCTTGAAGACCTTCAGGGAATTGAGCTGAGCCTGAAGGCGTGACAGCATTTCACTTCGGCTGTCTTCATCTCTGTTTGATGCCGAAGAGGAATTGGGAGATGAAGTCGAGTGAGATGTGAGTGATCTGAGCATCTTGTTGGCTTCTTCAATCAGCCCCTTCATCGTCTCAGACTCTTCCTTTGTCTCCTCACCTGTCTTTACTTCACCTGTCTTCACTCCTTCTTCAACTTTTGCGCCCTTCTGCTTCGGAGGCGATCCCTCACCTGTTCCCTTTCGTGGACATGCAGGAGCCAAGTGTTCTTCCGCACCACAGACGTAGCATCGCCTTTTTCCGTCTTTTTCAGTGTGAGAGAACTTGCAATCACGGCCCTTTCTGCAGCCTTCTGGAGTCAGGTAGAACTTGCACTTGACAACCTTCTGACGTTCTCCTCTATCTTCTTCTGCTGTCTTCTCTCTACCTTTACCTTTTCCTTTTGCATCCTCCTTCTCATACTCCATCATCTTCACTTTCGGTTCAACCTTGGCGTTGTTGGGGACGGTCTTCTTCTCCATTTGCGACAACTGCTCGCACTCAGAGAGGAGGTGCATTGCAAACTGCGTCACACTCTCCAAGGTCGGCACCGTATCTATGCCTAACCCATGACGTGCAAGCGACACTCGAAATTGTAGTTCTCGATTTGTTTCCAAAACCTTCTTTGTCATCCTCAAAAGCCCACGAACAAGAAGAGCAGGATCAGGCGTGATCGCTCCGATTTCGGTGGCCCTCTGACGCCACCTGATCCACTTTCTCAAAGCCATTGGAGCATCTCCCAATGTTTGGACTTCCGCAGGATCCTCAAGGTTTTTCAGGAGGTTCTGTTTTTCGGAGATACCACCTGGACAGTAGATCACATAGAGGTGTGTGATGATGGAGAACACACTCATCCTTCTGGTGGACACAAGCTCTTCACGAACTTGTTCAGGCATCGCTTGAAGCATCATCGTGGACATGCGTCGCTCCAATCGCTGCCATTTTTCCTGTCTCAAAGAAGGTGGAGTTCCATGTCCATGTTGGAGACGTTCAAGAGGTGACATCTTCATATGAGACTGATACCAACCCTCGGCCTCTTTGAGAAGGGTCTTCCACCAGGTTTCAGCAGTTGCAGTCAAATCTGAAACCACCGGTTCGATGAGCAGCAGCCAATCGCTCAATTGAAGTGGCGATTGATTCGACGACCAAGCAGGCAAAGGAGGTAATTCTTGAGCACCAGATCGAACTACCTCAATCCCTCTGATTGATCCTCCTTCTTCTCGGTCTTCTTGATACTTGCGCTGCAGCTCTTTCATATTTTCCATCATCAGACACATAAACTCAAGTGACTTTTCTGTAAATCCAGCAGCTCCTGTCTCGGCTGATGGACGTTCTTCTCCTGGTTGTTGTGCTTCGCCAGACATTCCTTCAGGGGGTCTAGCGGCCTCCTTTGGTGCACTTGCTGGGGGTCTTGCAGCCTCCTTCTGAACACTTTCTGGGGGTCTTGCAGCCTCCTTCTGAGCGCTTTCTGGGGGTCTTGCAGCCTCCTTCTGAACGCTTTCTGGGGGTCTTGCAGCCTCCTTCAGAACGCTTTCTGGGGGTCTTGCAGCCTCCTTTGAACCATCACTTCCATTTGGCGTGGAAAAAGACAAATCAACTTCGGGAACAGCAAACCCTGTTTCCAACGCATGAATCCTGTGTTTCAATTCCTCATTCTGATTTATCAATTCCTTCATATATGCCCTCATGGTGGACATCTCATGAGATTCAGCCGACATTCTGGCTTCTTCGGCTTCCAAAAACGAAGGTCTCCTAAAAGCTGGAAAAAAGGACCAGGCTGGTTGATCTCCGTACAACCATGGTGTCCTACTCTGCAGCATGACCATGTCTCTAACTTGCTCTTCGGTGAACAAAGGTGTGTGCATGACATCCGGAGTGGCTGATCCCTGATTTGGAACCCCGGCTGAGTTTTGAAGCGGGGTCATCTCCTCCACTTTCTTGTTCATGTCAACTACTCCAGGTGTCATTGCCATCGCGGTAAGACCAGCAGAAGACTTCTCACTTCGTTCTTTCTGAGGATTCGCGCTCCTAGGGTGAGCAGCGAGAGAGGATGCTGACTCACTTCGTTCTTTCTGAGGATTCGCGCTCCTAGGCTGAGCAGCGAGAGAGGATGCTGACTCACTTCGTTCTTTCTGAGGATTCGCGCTCCTAGGCTGAGCAGCGAGAGAGGATGCTGACCCTGGCTCGGCGGGTGTGATGGCGGCAGGGGAAGTTCGTGGTGGCAAAGGACTGGTCTTACCTTCCTCATCTCTTTCTTTTGTTGGGAGACTTTTTGGGGCACCTTCCAGCTTCACCTTCTCTACTTCCTCTACCTTTCCATCACCTTGAACATCTTCTAAGGGCAGTTCACCTCCTTCATTCGCCTCTTTCTCAAACCTTTCTTGTGCTAACCTCATCTCTTCTTGACCTTGTTGCATCTCTTTCGGAGTCGCTTTTCTTCTCATCTGAATTTGCATGGTTCGCCCTTGGGCTCATAACCTGCTTTGCGCAGGTCTCCTCTGTTTCCGTTTCCCTCGCACCTTGCAAAGTTTCCGTTTCCCTCGCACCTTGCAACTTTTCCGTTTCCCTCGCACCTTGCAACTTTTCCTTCTCGGGGTTGTGCTCGGCTTGAGTTAGAAAAAGCAGCTACAGAAAATCGGCAAATGTGAAATCTGCAGCAAGTCAAAATGCCTGACAGGTATGGTCAAAATGGAATGCATTCTGCAGATATAATATATATATATATAATAGATTATATTGTATATATATAATATACATGATATATATATGATATATATATATATATATGATATATATATATGATATATATATATGATATATATATATATATATGATATATATATATATGATATATATATATAATGGATGTAATATATATATATAATAGATTATATAATCATATTATTATACTATATTATATTATATCATATTATATTATATTATATTATACTATATTATATTATATCATATTATATATTTATAGTAAATATGTATATAATCGATATATAATGTATATATATATGATATATATATATATATGATATATATATATATGATATATATATATGATATATATATATATATGATATATATATATGATATATATATATAATGGATATATATATATATTTGATATATGATACATATATACAATGTATATAATATATATAATAGATTATAATATATATATAATTGATTGTATAATACATATAATATATATATGATATATGTAACATAGATATAATATAATATATATATAATATATGTATATAATAGATATATAATATATAAAATTTATTTTTAAAAAATGTCAGCTTACAGGTATTTTTGTTTTTGGGATTCTTAAGCAGCGTCAGATGGACACAAAATAATAAAAAAAACACTCGATGTTGAGCTCGACAGACCGATAGGGGGTCGACCATGGAATTTCCATGCAGTACCCTCTGGTAAACATACAAAAAACTATTGAAAATGGCCCATTTATAGTGGATGTACCCATGAAAAATGGTGATTTTCCATAGTTATGGGACAGTTTACCAGAGGGTATTTGGTGTTGTTACCTTCGCACTTTCTCGAGAAACATATCCATCACATTATGAGGATGAGTTCAAAGCCATAATTCAAAATAGTTTTTTGTGGCGATGAAGGATACAGCCGTATCGTATTGTGACCGTATCAAGGTCATCATGATCATCCTGAATGACTTAAATGATCTAGCCAATGCCTATCTTTGAAAATGCCATGTGTGAGCAGAAATTGATGTCATTGAACCAGCCATTGAACCCAGCTATTTTCATGTGAACATCTGCCATTTCGAGACAGCCCGCCCGGCCATTTTATCTCAACAAAAATCTCAATATGACAAAAACAGGGTGGGTATATACCGCAGTTGGTTATAGTTGGTTTATAAACCTTATATTCACTATAGTTATAAGATGTTATAAGATGTTATAAGTATCATAAACCATACATTAATTGGAGTTATGGACACCTGGTTGCGATTCCGTTGACCGGGGCCCCACCACTTGTATTTTGGGAACATGATCCCAATCGAGACGTCCCAACTTTTCCTTATCCTGGCTGACTTATGTCATGGGACTGATCCCGATGATTGTTTTTTTGGATTCAAGAGTTTGGCGTAAGCGAAGTACATTTTTTCTATATGATGTTTACTGTATAAATCTATAATATGATATATATAAATATATGTATATTTCTATATATTATTTATTTATTTCTTTGTTTATTTATTTATTATTATCTATTTATCAGCACTTGTGGGCTTTTAATGTCATGTTTCATAATTTTTCCCAGTCAACTCATCTTTTTGGGACAATCAAAACTGACCTCCAGGGCCCCCCTAGGCCCCCCTAGGGCCCCCCTAGGGGCAACCTGTGCGATGCCAGGGCCATTGGGCGATCTATTCCGAGGGGATCCTGACGTCCTACCGCAATCAGACCCGCAATCGTCGGGCGCGGCTGAGCGGGATGGCGTGAGGTCAGGACGAAGATAGGTGGGGTTACCCGAAATTGGAAATCTAAGATAGCCATGAAAAATCAGGTGTTTCAGTGGCTCAAGATTTGTTGACCGTGCTTCTTAATTGAAGAATTCGAACGTGGCCAAATGTCACTGTGTGGCAGACAAGTTGCATCCAAAATCGTGGGCCGGACCTTGACAAATTATGCGGTACAATTTCGGAACATGACAATATCCTTAATCATATATGAATTCTATAATATAGCAACAAAGCTTTTTTTGTGTAAAAGGGACTTTTGTTTTTGTATTGGGGTCTTGTTGCAATGTTGTCAAAGCAATGGTAGAGGAGCTCTTTTGAATATTATACTGTCCCTCTCTGCCCTCCCAAATCGGAGTCGGAGCAGAAAGAGAAACAGATCAACTGACAATGTGTGTTGGCAAAAAGTAGACAAAATAATTAAAAACATAAAGACAATTAAAGGAAAGGAAGAAGGAAAGAAAAAGAAGACAAATCATCATCAACAAGAGGAATTACAAAAAAGACAAGAAGAAACAAAGAAGAACAGGCAACAGGAAGAAAGAACAATAAAAGAACAACAACCAGAAGAAATACATTCAGATATTCATGATTCAGAATACCAAGTGCTGCAAGCTGGTTCTTGCTGACATCAAAACAATCCTCTTGGGGTAGAAAGAGGAGAATGAAAAAAATAACCCATTTGCTATCTTTTTGGTTCCCTCCAGTGCCTTGAAGAGCTTGGAGAACATCGCGGCTCAAGTCACTTTTTGGATGGGGAAAGTGTGGGTTTCAACAAGTGTCCTGAAGGACCCCGCTTTGGCTCAAGGGAGGCTCAAGGAAAAGACTCTGCAGGGCACTTGTTATATGGAACAGTTTGGCCTTCAACAAAAGGCCTGAAGGATTGCACAATTGGAGCAAGGTAAAGGTTTTCAGGCCCATTGTTGAATGTAGTCGGACAGCATTTGTTAGCAACAAGTGCCCTGAAGGGCCGCTGTTGTCTCAGGAAAAAAGGCTGCCCAGGTCACTTGTTGAGCACAGACACAGAGAGAGTGAGAGAGAGAGGGAGGGAGGGAGGAAGGGAGGGAGAGAGAAAGAAATGAGAAAGAAATAGAAGAAGAAAGGCAGCTGGACAAAGACAAGAGGAAGCAAGCAACGCCAAACAAAAGTGAAGGAGTCAAACTTTCCATATAACAAGTGACCTGCAGAGTTTTTTGCTTGAGCCTCCCTGAGCCTCCCTTGAGCCAAAGCGGGGTCCTTCAGGACACTTGTTGAAACCCACGCTTCTTCCATCCAACAAGTGACCTGGAGGGCCTTTTCCTTGAGCCAAAACGAGGTCCCTCAGGACACTTGTTGAAACCCACACTTTCCCCATCCAAAAAGTGACTCGAGCCGCGATGTTCTCCAAGCTCTTCAAGGCACTGGAGGGAACCAAAAAGATAGCAATTGGGTTATTTTTTCATTCTCCTCTTTCTACCCCAAGAGGATTGTTTCGATGTCAGCAAGGACCGGTTTCTAAAGAAACCCTAAATGAAACCGCAGCACTTGGTATTCATTCGAAGCATGATTCATTAATATCTGAATGTTTTTCTTCTGGTTGTTTCTTCTTTTATTGTTTTTTCTTCCTGTTTTTGTTCTTCTGTGTTTTTCTTGTTTTTTTTGTAACTTATCTTTTTGATGATGTTTTGTTTTTTTTAAAAAAAAAGCAAAATATGTTGATTTGTTTTCCTGCTTTTTCCTCTGTGCTTTGCCAACACACATTGTCATTTGATTTGTTTCTTTTTCTGCTCCGATTTATTTGGGAGGGCAGGGAGGGCCAGCACAATATTCAAAACAGTTTCTTTACCATTGCCTTGACAACATTGCTTACAAACAAATCGTTTTCTTGCGATACATCGCCATCTGAGATTTTGGCTCTACCTGGCATATCTTCTGGCATATGTTCTGCCATATTTTCTGGCATATGTTCTGGCATTCTATCTGGCCGTTGAGGTCCAGCGGTGCACACTGAGCTGGGAAGGTCCCAGGTTGAGGTCCAGCAGTGCACACTGAGCTGGGAAGGTCCCAGGTTGAGGTCCAGCAGTGCGCACTGAGCTTGGAAGTTGGCGAAGAGCTTGGCGAAGAGTTGGCAAGGCGGAAGTAGAGGTGGAAGTTGATGCAGACATGGTCGAGGAGAAACTGGAGGAGGAGGCGGAGGAGGAGGAGGACGAAGCGGAGGAGGAGGCGGAGGAGGAGAAGGAGGAGAAGAGCTAGCCGAGGAGGAGGAGAACAGCTCTGATAAAATCTAGCAACCCTCACCTGGCAGGTGGGGAACTAACAACCCTCACCTGGCAGGTGGGGAATTAAACAATAGGAAAGGACTCTACATACCAGTTTCAATCACAGAGGTACAGGTTTGACATGGAGAATTTGTACTTGTCTTTGAATACATCTGAGGCTGCGGCCAACTGTGGAAGATGTGGCCAAGTATCGAGCTGTGATTCAGTTCTGGTGCCGATCCATGGAGGCAACCATGGTGGACGTGGACAATGAAGACGCTGCTGACGTGAAGTCAGCCGTGCTTGAGGGAATTGCACTGGATGAACAGATCCTCAAGGCAACGCAGGGATATCCAGTATACTTCCATGCCTCGATGATTTCAGTGGGGTTGACTCTGTCCATGAAATCGGCAGGTCAACCCTTTTGGTCCTTGGCACGGTCATCCTTCTTTATCTACGTCGGAAGCGGTTGGAGCCCGTTAAGGAGCCCGTTAACCCCGCCGTCCCGATCAACAATGATCGTCCGGCGATCATGGACAGCTCCGAGCCCCTCGCACCAATTGTTTTAGGGGGCAATTTTTTTCCGAATGCGTAGCAAGGGTTCCCGTTTCACTCTGGGGGTCTGGGGGTTGAGGGTGTGTTCGCTCGACGTTGCTTTGGCGTTCGCAACCGTCCGCAACCGTTCGCAGTAGGTCCATATGGCCGTGCCTATGGGAAGTTCTGCAAAGGTGGTCCGTTTTGGACGTTTCCAACGTGTCGTTGCTTTGTTTCGCGTGGCAGGCGTGGCACTTTGTGACATTCAGACTTGTTTTGCAACGTGTCGAAAGTCGTTTTGCGTGGCAGGCGCAATACTTTTGCGACGTTTTTACGAGATATGTTGCATTTTTCGTGGCAGCACTTTGGACGTGTCCATCGTCATTTTTCGTGGCAGGCGCAGCGCTTTAGACGTGTCGTGTTGAATGTTTTTCGCAAATCGCATTGGCAGGGCTGCGTCAAGTGGCGACAAGGTGCAAATTCCGTGGCAGGCGTGGCATTTTCTGACATGTGCTGAAAATTGACGGAAGCCTCGCACGAAACATCGATTTTGAGGTTGCAAGATTTCCAGGTTCCTAGGAAAACTCGTAGGAAAACGCCGCTTTTGAAGCTACAAAGTGTGAAAATTCGAGGGAGTCTCGCACGAAATGCTCGTTTTGGTGCTCCCACATGTCTCGTCTCGAGTCTCTGGTTTCCCTGTGGCCTCGCCGTGTCTATGGGGGAAGCTGGAAAACATGTTCTTGCGGCATGTTTCAAACTATGAAAATTGGAGGAAATTTCGTACGAAATTCTCGTTTTTCTGCATCCACGTGTCTTGTCTCGAGTCTCTGGTTTTCCTGTGGCTTCGCCGTGTCTATGGGGGAAGCCGCAAAACCTCTCCTTTTCGAAGGTTTCCAAGCAGCTTGTCATGTCGTTTTGCGTTGCAGGCGTGGCACTTTGTGACATTCCAACGTGTTTGATAACGTGTCGAAAATGTCGAAATTGGAGGAAGTCTCGTACGAAATGCTCGTTTTTCTGCATCCACGTGTCTCGTCTCGAGTCGTTGGATTTCCTGTGGCTTCGCCGTGTCTATGGGGGAAGCCGCAAAACATCTCCTTTTCGAAGGTTTCCAAGCAGCTTGTCATGTCGTTTTGCGTGGCAGGCGTGGCACTTTGTGACATTCCAACGTGTTTGATAACGTGTCGAAAATGTCAAAATTGGAGAAAGTCTCGTACGAAATGCTCGTTTTTCTGCATCCACGTGTCTCGTCTCGAGTCGTTGGATTTCCTGTGGCGTCGCCGTGTCTATGGGGGAAGCCGCAAAACATCTCCTTTTCGAAGGTTTCCAAGCAGCTTGTCATGTCGTTTTGCGTGGCAGGCGTGGCACTTTGTGACATTCCAACGTGTTTGATAACGTGTCGAAAATGTCAAAATTGGAGAAAGTCTCGTACGAAATGCTCGTTTTTCTGCATCCACGTGTCTCGTCTCGAGTCGTTGGATTTCCTGTGGCGTCGCCGTGTCTATGGGGAAAGCTCCGCACTCCTCACTCCACACTTTACACTCCACACTCCTCACTTTACACTCCACACTCCACACTCTACACTCCACACTCCACACTCTACACTTTACACCCCACACTCCACACTTTTTACATTTTACAGTCCACACTCTACACTCCACAAACTAGACTTTCCACTCCACACTCCACACTCTACACTTTACCCTCCACACTCCACACTCCACACTTTACACTTTACACTTTGCACTCCACACTCCACACTTTACACTCCACACTCCTCACTTTACACTCCACATTCCACACTCCACACTCCACACTCCGCACTCTACACTTTACACTTTATTAAACTCCTCACTCCTCCCTCCACACTCTACACTCCACATCCCCCACTCACACTCCACACTCTACACTTTCCACTCCCCACTCCACACTCCACACTCTACACGTTGCACTCCACACTCCGCACTCTACACTCCACACTTTACACTTTACACTCCACACCTCACACTCTACACTGTACACTCCACACTCCTCACTTTACACTCCTCACTCCACACTCCACACTATACACTCCACACTTTACATTCCACACTCCACACTCCTCACTGCAAAGTTCCAGCAGTTGCAAGAGCAGGTTGCAGCAGATGCTCAGTTGACTCAGCGGGCAGCTCACGGGCACAGAGTTTTGAAAGATCGGTACCTCAGGCACAATAACGAACAATGTTATATATGTTTTTCAAGAC